AATCCCTCCCCACCTCCCACCCTTTGTCTTGGTCATCTATTCAAAAGGGAAAACTGAGTGAGTCAAATGGCTTTGGTTTTCCCTGGACCTCTCCTGACGCTTTGACTGCCCGCCGAGCTCCTCATCCGAATGGTGGTGCCGGGTATGTCCCCATCTTACGGAGAGAAAATGCAGAAGCTGCATGAGGCTAACGAGTTCACATCACTAGCTTGTCATTCCCAGAAGCCGGTCAGTGCAGGGGCCAGGCCAGAACCCGTGTTCCAGACCACAGCGCCCTGGGTCAGCACGGAGTTGAGAGTGCAGGAGGCCAGAGGAGGCAAAGGAGCAGCACTTCCAGTTGCTGGGAGACAAACGAGGGATTGGTGCATGCGCATGCACACACACGTACACACGTACACGTGTATACACGTACACACGTACGCATGTACACACGTACACACGTACACATGTACACATGTACACACGTACACATACTCCCTGGTCATCCAAGAACCAACATCATTTTAAAATGTTGCTGCCCCCGAGTCGGTGTGGCTCAGTGGTTGAGTGTTGACCTGCAAACCAAGAGGTGACCAATTTGATTCCCTGTCAGGGCACATGCCCAGGTTGTGGGCCCGATCCCTGGTGGGGGGCATGCAGGAGGTGGCCAATCAACGTCTCTCTCTCCCTCTCCCTTCCTCTCTCTCTAAAATCAATATATGAAAATTATCAAAAGATTAAAATAAGTAAAACGTCGCTGCCTGTGGACGCCTGAGAACTGGCCGGCCAGTGCAGACTGGCGAGGGCGTGGCTTCAGAGAGCTGAGTTCCCGCCAGTGTGTCCTGTGGACCTGGGACAGCACCTTTCCAGAGACAGACGGGACTTACCCTGCCTGTCGCTCTTCCCCAGGCTCCCCGGCTCAGGGCTGCTGTTCCCCCGTTGTCCCCAAACCCAGGAGCTCTGTGGTGACATCTTAACTGGCCCCCCACACACAGAGGGCAGCAGAGACCAAGAGAGACACGGATGGCTCCAGGTTGGCAGGCAGCAGATTGAGAGGAAAGAACTTACTTACACACAAGGCCCCTCTTGGGCAGACCAGCAGATCAAGGAGGGAAAGTGTACACAGGGCCTCACCGGGTCTGGTCGGGGCTCCGTCCACACGGTCTCAGCACACACTGCAGTCAGCCCTGACTTCCCACGTGGACGACTTCTGCAACTTCCAGTGAGACGGCCCACCAAGAAGCCAGCTGAAGCCGATTTCACCCTAGGCTAATTGATACAAACAAGACTCACGTTCCCAGGCATCTCATCAACTTTATAAGGAAAGACCCCTGCATAGAAACGATGTCACTCGTGAACCCGTGGGACCCGTGGGACCCGTGGGACCCGTGGGAGGAACGTTTGTTCCAGGGACCCTGGGGGCAAGGCCGAGCCTCTGGGTGTGGGTCACGTCCTCTCAGTGACTTCCAGTCCCTCAGGCCTGGTCTCCTGTGTCCCTCCCATGGCATGTCCTCTCACCAGAGCTCTGCAAGTCCTGCCTCCTCCAGCCCATTCTCCAAGCGACAAGCAGAGGACCTGTTCCAGGTGGTCACTGCATTGTGTCGCTCCCCTGGTTAAAACCCAACCACATCTGTCCACTGCAGCTAAAAGAAAATCCACAGATCTGGCTCCTGGCAGCTTTTCCAAGCCCAGCTCAAGCCCCTCACACTTTGCACCCCTGGCCACGCGGGTCTCCTCCGACTTTCCTGCCCCACCCCCCGTGCTCTCGTCTTCCCTTGGAAATGCACCCCTGCTGTTCCTCTGCGTGTAGCCTCTTCCCACTGAACGCCCCGTGTCTGCTCCTTTGCCTCCTCACGGAGGCCTTTCTGCTCACCCAGCAGCGGCCACAACTCATGATGCTGTCCTCACCGGCTGTGTGTTCACTGCCCGTCAGCCCAGCCGACTCTAAGCTCCGTGAGAGCAGGGGCCAAGTCTGAGCGGTCCACCCATTCTAACCCCGTGCCCAGCAGGTCCTAGATGCTCAACGGATAGTTGAGAAAGGAAGGGAAGGAAGGAGAAGACAGACAGCCCTTACGGGAGAACAATCAGGATCTGGGAACATCATAATGATGATAGCTATAGACCAATAGCCAATATAGGCCCGTTCTGCACCAGATGCTATTCTACGCACGTTACATGTGTTAATACATTTGATCCTCACGGTGACCCCACCACATACCCGGTATTCCTCTCCTCGTCTTGCATATGCAGACACTGAGGCGAGTTGAGATCTCTCTTCCACTTTTTATAAGGGCACTAATCCCACCATGAGGGCCTTTCCCTTATGACAGAAATGTAACCCTATTCTCTCCCAAAGGGCCCATCTCCAAATACCATCATAGTGAGGGTTAGAGCCTCAACATATGGATCTGGGAGGAGCACAAACATTCAGTCTATAACATCCATTGCCGGGACATTGGGTTAAATAAATCACGGTGTATCCATATCATAGAATGCTCTGCAGCTTTTAAATACTGTCCCGCGTATGGTTTCAACAGGAAAGACATTAGTGATACATGAAGTGAAAAACTCAGGTGATAATGCATATACACAGCATGACCCCGTTTTTATCAACACCAGGGACATGAGGTGCATTGGCAAGATCTTGATCCCGGCAGAAAGGCTGAAATTTCCCAGACTCCTTTGCAGCTAGGTTTCAGATAGGAATTCACTTCTGCCTGTCGGATGCACTTGCAGAAAGCAGAAATGGGGCAGAGGCATCTTCCCGCAGTGTGGGCTGTTTGCTGCTGGTAACCAAGTCTGCAGAGATGTGGAGGTTTCCTGCAGGAACATTCAGGTGCTTGGGTGTCCAGCCGCCAGTCCATGACTGTGGACAGGAAGTTGTAGCAGAGGCAGTGACCTGTTTAGTGGGAGCTGGAAGGCACTTGCAGGGACAGCAGTTTCCTGATCCCCGGATCACAGCTGCGCCAGAGCATTCCAGAACTCATTCATTCCACTTGAAACCAGACACCAAACGGGTCCCAGGCCACCTGCCACTACTTGAGCCAAATTAAGCAGAGACGAGGTTGAATCATACACGAGTGTTTATTCCAATAATGCTGGCAGTATGGAGAGCACAGCAGGTCATCCTGGAAATTCTGCTCTCTGACATTTCATTTCAAACAAATTCTTGCATAGAGTGAGTGGGTAGGAAGAAAAAAAATCTAAAGTTAGTGAGTTCCCAGTGACTGCCCCCTTTCATTGTCCTTGCAAAGGAGCACTACCTCCCTTCAGATTGGCCCTGCCCTTGACCTGGGCCCCAGGCTGCCTTATCTCCGGGGCCTGTTCACCTTCTTGTAACATGTTCTTCAGTTTCCCAGGGTCTGTATGAAAACCTCTTTTTGTTACAGTGAGCAGTTGTTAAACAACTGTGATTCTATTTCTATCACGCAGCCCTCCCCTATCCCTCTAACAGACTCCCGTGCCCACCTTCCCAGCTGTGGCTGAGGGGGCAGCTCCTCCAGCTGGCCAGGGGGTCTTTCCTGGGGGCCCAGCCTAACATCCTCTCCTCCAGCTTTCCAGTGATTTTTCAAGCACCAATTGCCTGTGCTAAATCTTTCCTTCCTGAAATAGCAAAGATCTAGAAGCATTTTGGATCCTCTAGTTTCAACCAAACGAGGCTGCACAGGGTCGGGGGCGAGAACTGGGTGAGGCGCTGCGGAGTCTCAGTTTCCTCTTCTGTAGAATGGAGACCAAAATCATGATCTGTCACTAGTTACTGAACACGGTGGCAGCCTGTATTTCCCCAAGGTGGTCACATTTCCAGTCCCTCGTGTGATCGTGCCACTGTCTGTCAAGTCCCCTCACCCTTGAGGCTGGTCTTGCCTGTAACCCATACACTAGGGCAGAACTTGGCCGCAAGAACCCAAAGCTTCACAGGACTGGGGCGGGGTCACAGCGGAGGCTTTAGCAGCAACTTCCTGCCGCAGCCGCCACATGCACCCCCATGTTTGTAGCAGCACTATTTATAATAGCTAAGATCTGGAAACAGCCCAAGTGTCCATCAGTAGACGAATGGATAAAAAAGCAGTGGTACATATACACAATGGAGTACTACGCAGCTGTAAGAAAGAAAGATCTCTTATCATTTGAGACGACATGGAGGGACCTGGAAAGTATCATCCTAAGTGAAACAAGCCAGAGAAAGACAAGTTTCATATGATCTCACTTATTTGTGGAATATAATGAACATAACAGTCTGAGGAAGGGGATAGTCCCAGAGAGGCGGAAGTGGGATACAGATTGACAATCCCCTAAATAGGGGAGTGGTGGGGAAGAGATAAACCACAGAATTTATATGCATGTGTGCATGAACAGTGGACATGGACAACAAACTGGGGAAAGGGCAGGGAGGGAGGGGGAGTGGGGAATCAGTGGGGGGAAAGGAGAAACATCTGTAACAAAAATTAATTAATAAAAAATAAATAAATTTTAAAAAATAATAAAATAAAATACCTGATTCCTAAAAATAAATAAAAAATTTTTTAAAAAACCCAAAGCTAAGTCCGCCCCGGCGCGCGTCTCCAGCCCCGCCCACTCCGCCTGGGTTTCCCGCTCCGGCCCCGCCCACCCCTGGCGAGCGCCGGGCTCAGGGAGGGCTGGGGACCGGTGGGCGGGGCCGAAGAGAGCGCGCGCGTCTCCAGCCCCGCCCACTCCGCCTGGGTTTCGCGCTCCGGCCCCGCCCACCCCGGGCGAGCGCCGGGCTCAGGGAGGGCTGGGGGCCGGTGGGCGGGGCCGAAGAGAGCGCGTGCGTCTCCAGCCCCGCCCACTCCGCCTGGGTTTCCCGCTCCGGCCCCGCCCACCCCGGGCGAGCGCCGGGCTCAGGGAGGGCTGGGGGCCGGTGGGCGGGGCCTAAGAGAGCGCGCGCGGTTCCGGCCCCGCCCACGCCGCTCCGAGCTCCGGCTCCGGCTCCGGGGCCCTGCCCACCGGCGCTCGCTCCGCCTCCAGCGGGCAGCGCGAGCCTCGGCGACTCGCCGCGCACCATGGCCCGCCTGCTGGTGCTGCTGGGCTCCGCGGGCAGGGTGGGCGCCCGGGTCGGGCCTCGCGCCTCCTGGCTCCTGGGTGCCGCCGCCCCCTGCGCCCCGCAGCCCCTATTCCTGCCGCTGCTCCGACTGGGGCCAGACGCTCGGCTGCTGTGCGCGGCCCGCGGCGGCCGCCAGGTAAGCCTCCCCACCCCCACCCCGACCCCGGAGCCCGATCCCGGCTCTCCGAGAGCCCCGGTCCCCGGTCTACCTCCGCCAGAGGAGAGTTTCGCGCGCGCAGCTGCCGGAGGCCGAGCACCTCCAGGGTCTTTAGACCCCAAATGTCTACAAGCCAAGGAAGCAACCCTCCCGGTTGACAGCCGGAGAAACCGAGGCTGTGGGAAGTGCAGCGATCTGCCAGGGGTCACAGCCTCCGGCGGAGGGAGCCTCGGGTTCCCAGCGCCTCGTCGGGCGCCCAGAAGGTCGTAGGTGGGGCCTGCGCTTGGTCTTAACGCCCTCCCTTGCCATCCAGAGTTTGTCCCCGTTGAAGTCACGTGGGCCAGGAGAAGCCTCCGCGGGGAGCTGCTTGCCTCCACCAGCTCCCTGCACTTGCTGCTACTCCCTTCCTCTAACCCAGAAGCAGCTGCAGGCAAGACTCTCGCAAGAAGCGCAGTGTTGTTCCATTTCGGTCGCCCTCTCTATGCAGTAAGTGGAAACGGGTTTCCACCCAGAAGAGCACTACAGGCCTAACTTTTATCTTCTTAAAATCTATGACAGTTGTTTTTCCTTTAAGTGCGTCTAATGGAGAGACGGGACTAACGAGTTGGGTTGGGACATGCAGAGCCCGGCCTCCTGCCCCACTAGTGCCTGGAGCTTTGCACCGGGCAGTCCCTGTGCCTGGGAGGATCAGACCCCAGCACTCACCAGTGGTGTGACCTCACCTCCAGCCCTGAAGACCTCTGAGCCTGGGGGCTGACCTTTCAGGGGGCTAAAAATAGCACACCCCCAACAAGAGTTTAAGGGACAATTCTGTGAGCTGATGCAGGCCTGAGCAGTGTCCTTACCGTGCCTCCCACACAGATGGATAAACTTCCTTCCCTGCCTTCTGCTGTCAGATCAGACAAGCAGGAGAGCTTATCTCTAAACCCTGAGCCCAGTTTGGGGGGCCTTGGGGACCTGGCACCCTCCACACACACCCAGCTGCCTCCTGGTGATTCTTCATGGCTCAGCGCTTCCTCCAGGAAGTCTTCCGTGACCACCAGTGATGCCTTGGGTGCCTCCATTGGCCATCAGCCACATGGGTATGAATCTTTTCTGCATCCATCATCTGGAATCTCTCCTGACTTGCTTGTCTGTCCCAGCAGCCATGTCAGCCTGTCCCCAGTCCAGGCCCTGGCACGTGTGTGTGTGTGTGTGTGTGTGTATTATGTGTGTACAGTAGTGATGAGTGTGGTCCCAGACTCCCTGTATTCGTGTCTCTACTCACCAGCTCTGTGGCCTTGATCAAATTCTCTCACTTTTGTGTCTGTTTCCTCATCTGTAAAATGGGACATTAATTCACATTTCATAGAGCATGAGTGGAAAACAAGGTAATGTACCTGCATCTGGGGCATCCTCTCTGCCTCTCCTCTTGGTCTTTCTCCGTAGCACTTGTCACATCCAGCAACCCTGATAGTTTCCTTCTCTGTTTTTTGTCCCACCCCTCCCACTAGACAGTAGGCTCCCTGAGGATGAGGTTTTGTCTGCTTCATTTGTTGCTGTGTCTCCCACACTCGGAGCAGTGCCTCATACAGAGCAGACTCTCCTGAGTAAGCGAGGGACATAGCATAGTTGCTAAGAGCAAAGAAGGCCTTAGAACCGGACTCGGGTTGGGATCCCAGCTTTCCCAGGCAATCCCTGTGTGATCCTCGGTAAGTCACTCGGCCTCTCTGAGCTTCCAGGATCCACTTCTGTTAAGTGGGGATGGGATGACCGTACTGCCTATGTCACAGGGTTGTTGTGAGAATTGGATGAATGAATATTTTCAGAGTACTCGAAACTAGTACAAAGGAAACACAATATAGTGTTTATTAGGAATATTACTCATCAAATGAGTGACAAACGGGTGTCACCCCGAACAATGTGAACACCTTGTGAGCAAGATCTTTGTTTCATTCTGCAAACCTTCCTGCCCCTTCTGATTCAGCCTTTTGTACTTCTGTGACTATGGGAGGGGGCATCACACACACACACACACACACACACACGGAAGCACTCCGTCTCTGTGGACACTGGGGACGTATCATGGTGTGTGCATCCCGGGCAGTGCCTAACATAGGCGGTGGTGTTTCGCAGAGAAATGAATGTCTGAAAAGTTTCCGTTCCTTGCAAGTCACCTCTTCATAAATTCCTTTATGTTCGCGTTTTTAACCTCCTCCAGGGTTAGGAAGAAAAATGTATGGCTCACAATGCTATGGACTGTCCCTTCTACCCAGATAAAAGGAAGTCAATTGTCCAGGTCGGATTCTGACTCAGGAAAGTTAGAAACTAATGGTGATGCTGGCTAACAGGAAACTAAAACTGTCCCTTGTGTCTGGACATTGTCCCTGCCACTGCCTTGCAGCAGATGCTGGTTATTCTGTAGCTGGAGGCCTGGCTGCCTTGTTCTGTCTCTTTTCGGGCCAAAGGCCTTTTGCCAAAATAGAGGCTGCAAAGAAAAGGGCCGTCCACGGAGACAGCTATGTTCGGTCCTGGTCAGTGGACAGATGGGCACCATTGGGCCTGGTTGGCCAAGTGTCAGGGTTGGGAAGGGAAGGGCTCCCAGCCATCACCAGCCTCGGTCAGAATGTCCTTTGGGCTGGGAGCTGCAGACCGTGGGTGGTCCGTCCTATCAGGGCCCCGCGCCTGGCAGTCCTCCCGCTGCAGCGTGTTTATCAGAGAGCAGCCGTTCGGCCGGGAGGCAGCAGAAACAGTCCAAGGCTTTGAGGACAGGGGACCCACACGTGCTAGCCACTTCCCTCCCCCCTCCAGAGCCTGGAGGTTCCGCTCGAGTCTTCAGGAATGTTCTATGCTCAGGAACACGGTGGGGAGTTGCCGAATGCTCGGGGGCCGTGTGGCTGGGTGGTGACCAGCGCAGTAACCAGGCCGAGTGCTGCCAGCCAGCCCGTCCCTTCCCCTCGAACCACAGTGTCCTGTCAAAGAGGGAGCGACAGGCTGGCCACAGACCAGGACTGTGAGGGTTGTTGGGAAATGACACCTTTCAAAACTCAGTCTCAGACTCCGTCACTCCAAACTGGACTTCACTCGCCTTCCTCCTCTTTAAAGGGTTCCTTTTAAGTCTGAAAAAACATGCAGAAGTCAAAGCAAAAGGCAGTGATGAAATAGTTTGACCCATCCCATCCCCACCCCCACGACCTTAACACTTAATTCCCAGGGACGCCAATAGCCTTTCATGAAACTCAGATTTCATTCCAAGGCCAAAGCTTCTGAGTGTTTGGGGTTGTGGGTTCTTTGTTTTCTTGCTTTTTTTCAGTTCCGACTACAGTTTGAGAACAAAGGAGATACTCTTTCAATTGGGAGTAAAGACAAGAGTCTTTTAACTTATAAATCTGAGTGTTGTACAGACTTTGGGGAGAGGAGGGACAAGTGAACAGCTGCTGTGTGTGATTAAAACTCATAGATGAGCCCGGCCGGTGTGGCTCAGTGGCTGAGCGTCGACTCTGCACCAAGAGGTCGTCGGTTGTTTCCCGGTCAGGACTGATCTCCAGGGGGAATATGCAGGAGGCGGCCGATCGATGTTCTCTCTCATCAATGTTTCTAGCTCTCTCTCTCCCTCTCTCTTCCTCTCTCTCTTCCTCAAATCAATAAAGGGGGAAAAAACAAAACTCATAGATGATTCTGGGCAAACCAACCAGCAGCATCTGGGCCAGCTGGGGCCCCCCCGCAGGGGTCAGAGTGGCTCCCGGAGCAGGTTGGAGCTGGGCTGGGAGGTCCCCTGCAGCCCTGCTGGGCACACCTGGTTGAGTTTGGGGGCCTTTGCTGTGTGCACTGCTGCCCTGTATTATTTCATTTTCACTCCAGGGGGTCCTACCCCTACCTCTTGGGGATTCTGGGCTGTCACCTCCTCCCTCTTGCTTTGACGTGTGGCTCTAAAAATACAAGGAAGACGGCGCCCTGGGCTTCTGCAAAGTATTACAGAGCTGACCCAGATACCAGCTGCCGGGAAGCGCTCTGAGGTCTGCTTTTGAGGTGGAGGAATCTGATAAAAAAGGCACTCTCCGTATTGGGAGTGTTGGTCTTTGTTGTTGTTCAGTCCAGTGCTGCTGGCTCTTCTGTTTCTCCCAAAGTTCCCAGACCCCCGTAGATCTGGATAAATGTTAACAGACGCCACGCACAATGAACGGTTTCCATACAAACCCCAGCCAGTGTGCGCATGGCCGGGAGCGGGCCCTTCCTTCGTCTGTGCCGCTTGCAGGGGTCAGTCTCAAATGAGGACGTGCGCATGCCATCCTTCTGCCCGTGTCACTGGGCACCAGCGGTGCCCGTTGTACAACAGCTAGCGCAGTGTGCTCAGGCTGCGGGCGCCCCGGGTGCCAGTCTTCAGACTTGAGGCCGGTTCCTCAGCCTGCGTCGCTCCTCCGGAAAGTGGAAAGAACAGTAGTGTCCACTCCAGGCTGTCGTGAGGATGAAAGCAGACAGCAGATGGGCAGCAGCATGGGAGCGCCGCCCGGCTCCGAGAAAGTGCTCGGTACAGTCATCGCTGTCCCAGAGCATGTGAGCCCCGAGGCATTGGTGCCTCTCGCTGCTGTAACCACAGACCTGTGGCTGGAAACAGCACGTTTATGACGTGACAGTTCTGGAGGTCGGCAACCTGAACGGGTCTCGGGTGAAGTCCCGGAGTTGGCTGGGCCGGTCCCTCCTGGAGGCTGTGCGGGACGGTCCAGCTCCCTGGCTGTGGCTCCGGCCCTCTCCTCCGCCCTCAGAGCCAGCGGTGGAACATCCTCCAGTCTCTGCTGTCCTCACATCTGCTCCTTGGACCTCCTGCCTCCCTCTCTTCATTTATAAGGACTCTTGTGGTCACATGGGTCCCACTCAGAAAATCCAGGATGACCTGCCGATCTCAAGATGCTTCACTTAATCACATCTGCAAAATCCTTTGCCGTGTAAGGGTCTGAGGACTAGGGTCTGGCCATCCGTCATCCTGCCCATCATCCCTAGTACCCAGCCTGTCACTGTATTAGCCTCAGCTGAGTAAGGAAGGGTGACTGAGTTCCGTGAGTCGGGAAAGCTGGTGACGACCACCAGCATCCCTGCTCCTGACCTAGAGGGTCTCCCCTTGGTTTGTGTACAGGACCCCAGCAAAGCCACCGGGACAACAGGCAGCGACATCAGCAATACGGAGGAGAAAAAGCAGAGCAAGTCGCAGCAGCTGAAGAAGGTGTTTCAGGAATACGGAGCCATTGGTGTGTCGCTGCACATTGCAATCTCGCTGGTCTCCCTGGGCATGTTTTACGTTATCGTTTCGAGGTAAGACAGTAACAAGGGCTTGCATTTCACCGTCAGGGGAGAGTCTCTGTGAATAAGAACTTTCTGCCCGAAGACCTTTTATTCACCATTTTTAAAATCATGTAAATCTCAAGAGCCCAATCGATGCCTTAAAGCAGCCCCTTGCTGTAGTAACCGTTGTCTTGTGTTTGCCTCTCTCCCCTCCAGTGGCGTGGACATGTCTGCCGTCCTGCTTAAGCTCGGATTTAGAGAGTCCCTGGTGCAGTCGAAAGTGGCTGCGGGCACCAGCACCTTCGTGGTGGCCTACGCCATCCACAAGCTGTTCGCGCCCGTGCGTATCAGCATCACCTTGGTTTCCCTGCCCTTGATCGTCAGATATTTTCGGAAAGTGGGGTTTTTTAAACGTCCAGCTGCAAAGCCGTGATGAACTCTTCAGTCGTGGGTCTGAAACCCCGTTTCGTTTAAGTTACACAGTTTGGATTGGTTTTAGGGTTGTCGGGGGTTTTTTTGTTTGGTTGGTTGGTTTGGGGGGAGGGAGGGGCTACTTTCTATGTTTTCATGGATACGTTTTACTTTTGCCAGCAAACATCAGGTGTTTGGATTATTGTGATTGTTTTTGCTTTCTAAATTGTTAGTGCTGTTCATCATAGGGCTTGTCCACATCGGCTAAAACGTCAGCAAAGCATCACGAATGAGTCATCATGGTGAACTGTTTGCGCCCGGGCCTCTGGAACTCTGGGAGGGTCTCGGTGCAGAGGCCCCCGGGGCCCCTTTGCTCAGGTTCAAGAGCAGTGTGCTGCAAGCTGGCCGGCGCCGCGGTTGACGAAGCCAAATTCAAGACTAAACAGGCTGTGATCAGGACCTAAGTTAGTGTTGGCACCTTCACATTCTTCACACTCGTTTGGGAGAAAAACGAGTATTTCTGGTGGGCTTCCTTGGTCCCCAAATCCCTTCAAATCTGGACACGCTGGGGTCGACCTCAGGGTGTTTTTCTCATATTTCATGAAAGTAGGTCAAGGTCATCTGTCTCTAATTAGGTGAAAGGTGGAAACTTGTCCAATAATAATGGCGTCCCTTTGGCTCCTGACGCCCATGTCCACTGAGGAAGGTGGAAAACTAAGACAATCTTTGCCTAACCATCTCTAGGGCAAACCTCAGACATTCCAGAACCGTCGTGTGTTTACACTGTGTTGCAATATTTTTCAATTGAGTTAAAATTATGTACAGTGAAAAAAAGATTTTTGAATCACTCTCCAAAAAGGAAAGTTAGTAGCACTTGCTGTAAACAGAAGACAACTGTGAACTAACAGCGGGGGAGGGAAGGAATTTCTTCTCTGTTGCCTGGCCCAGAGGAGACACTTTCTGAGGGGCTCAGCCCTACCCACGCTGAGCTGCGGCTCCACACTCTGGGAACCCCGATTTAACTAGTTCTGCACCGCTGCCCTGGTCAAAGCAGGTAGTTGTATTTATTTTTCTGGCTCTTTTTTTTACAGTTTGTTTAATTACACTTCAGACAATCAGAAAACTAAAGGAACCGTAATCTGACAGTCCTGATTTTATGATCTGTTGACAATTCCCTAGTTAGCTCTTAGTAACCCAGGGTCAATCGCTTCAGTTTTACAAACATCATTAGGGGAAAAATTCCCTACTTGCAAGATCTCTAAAGTAGATTGTTTTGGGTTTTTTTGGGTTGTCCCCCTCCCCCGCCTTCAAAGCAATGAGCAAAGTGCCAAAAGGTTTACCTTCAAACTTCAAAGTTTGAAGTTGGCACTGCCTTTCCGGGATCTAAGTTCAAGGGCGTCCACGCAGCTTAGCTGGATACCAGTGTGAGGTCATCCCTCACCTGGACCAGACCCACGTTTGCACCTCCTCCCATCGTCATGGAAACCCTTGGCTTCATGGAAACCACTGGCTTCTGCTCCTGACCTCCTATCCCAGGCTCCCTAGCTAACAGATCCCTAGCAATGCCTATGCAAAAAAAGCTGACAGCGACCCCTACAGGTGTCAGGGCTGAAATCTTCATCTCGGACCCTGGAGTCAGGGGAGTGGGCTGAAAGACAAGCAATAAAACGAATTGCACATCAAATAGCCATGGCGTCTCTTCTAAGCCGACTCCACGCCGCTCCTGAGGCCAGTGGTCCAAACAGAACCGCAGAACTGGAGAGGGTGAGGAAATCAAAGGGTCGTTAATGTCGGTTCACCAGCAGGATGTACAAAGTGCTTGTTTTTACACTTTTTATGCAACCAGGAATAAAACGGATGATCTATTTTAAAAACGTCAAGCCATTGGTTCACCTCGCATTTTTCTGACAAAACAAGCAGCTTCAGTTCCATGAAAACAAATCAACACGTTTTGTCAAGTTTGTGAGTTTGACTGCACTGGTGAGCTGTGATTGCTCATGACGAAGCAGCACCCTGTGACTGGGTTATTAACATGCCACTCCACTGAGCCGTTTTCTCTGTTCTGTGAGATTCTGTTCAGAGAAACGGCAAAAGTTTAGCTACTGTCACAGTTGAGGTTAGTCACGTCATTTATCTAGGGGTGGGGTGGATGGTACATGAAACATGACCACTGGTGCGAGTTGGGTCAGCTCAGGGCTAACTGGACACTGCAGTTGACTGTTGTTTTGAAGTTGCCATGACTACACTGACATTGCTATGGACATGGACACTGGCCCCGTCCTATTTAGGACATTTCCGATACTCGGTCTCTACTAGTTGTCAGTGAGGTGGGCACTTCTTTGTCACTGTCAAGCTCACCGCTTTTGGTTGATGAGCAGGCTGGCAGTTAGAAACATCAGGGGGCAGAGACCGTGAGACCAGATGTGGGCGAGGCCTGCTGCTCATGGCACCTGCTCTCCCAGGCCGACGGTGAACAGGTGGAGAGGCACCCATGTTCCAGCCCACTGTGTGTCTGTCTCCAGTTTACACCCATGCTCACTTCCAGTGTAACAAATAAGCCCGCCGGTGTGCCATGGGGCCAGGTGACCAGGGGAGCACAGGAAGACGCCTCGACCAGCGTGTTGAAGGGGCTTCCACTTTTATAAGCGACAGTGAACACTGGTCACACCCAGATCCCTGGTTTGGGGAGGAATGAGGGATTCTAGTTAAGGGAACATTCCTTCACCAGAGAACCCAAACAGACCACACTTGGAAAACCAGTTTGCAAAGAACTAGCTGACCATCCTGCTAAGCCCAGAGGGTCAGGGGCCGGAGGTGGGCAAGTGGATGACCCATAACCCGCCCTTGTCTGCTGACCACCTGTAGCTCTGGTGAACTCCCCAAGAGCCCTCCTCAGCTTAGCCCATGCCATCCCGGGAACACGCTTCCGTGGACTTCTGCAGTGACTCGGCTGTCGAGTCCCCAGGATGGGGACCCACGGAGGACCCCAGCTCCATGAGCTGGGCTGTCATTCAGCACCGCACTGAATGTCCACTGCCTAAAAAAGGAACTAACTTTATGGGCACACAGCAGGGTGAAGGGAGGGCACCCCATGGGGCCACAACCACAGCTCCCCATTTGTGTGCCATGTTTCCCCTTCCCCCCCCCCCCAGCAGCAGGAACTTCTCACACCAGCCTCCAACTTCTAAATCCTCCCTGTCCTTCAAGTCTCCAGACACCTCTCCCAGCTCCCCACTACCCATCCCAGTCTGCGTGTCCATGCTGTGGCCACCCTCCCAAGCTGTGTCCCCAACCACTGCAGGGTGGGTGAGGGGACGAATGGAGGGTGTTTCCAGCCCAGCCCGGCCTTCCTGCCTTCCCACCCAGCACTGCTCCAAGGGTGCACTGTGAACCCCTGGGAAACGCACTGTAATTACAAGGTGCTACATGAGAACGTCAGAGAGTAACCACTGTGTATATGCCTTAATGTATTTATAAACACAATATACAAACCATCAAAAACACTTCTGAAGAGTCCAGAACGTTTAGAACTGGCTGACATGTCTCAGCGGTGTCACAAGTGCCAAGGTGGAGGGAGCGCGCCCGTTTCGGTCGCAGGCCGGAGATGAACGGTGGAGGAGGACTAGGTCGCAGGCCCCGGGGGACAGACTTCTCTTTATTGTAACATCTAGAAGAATCACACTCTGACATTCAGAGTTCACCAGGCGCGGCCACCCAGGAGCCACGCACTCAGGTACTGGGAAGGGCATTGCACGGCTCCTGGGCTGCTGGGGTCGGGCAGGGCCCTCTGCCCGTAACCGCCTCCGCGTTCTCCTTCCGCAGGGCCTTCATCCAAACGGGCTGCCGGGTGGTGCGCCGTGAAGTCAGCCCGCTTCTCGTGGCTCCTTGGCTCAGGTCCCGTCCCCCGAAGTGGAACTCGCCCGTGTCAAATCGCGCTGCGGGCCGCGAGCAGGCAGGGGCGGCAGGGCCGTGTCGGGGTGTGCTTCTGGCCGATGACACAGCAGCCCGGCTCACGGGGTCCTCGCCCGGCAGCAAGAGTCTTAGGAGGGCTTGCTGGAGGATTCCTGGCTTTTCTGGCTATTTAATGGCTTTGAGGAATTTGCCGTGATCCAGGGGTGTTCCAATACTTCTTTCAGGGTCAGCCTTTGGTTAGGGTTATGCACCAACAGTCTTGAAATGAGGTCTCTGGCGCCCTCTGGCACAAAGTCAGGGAATGCGAATTCCACCTGGAGTACGAGTGACAGGGAGTCACAAACGCGGTTTAGAGAACAGCACAAATACTCAGACTGTAGCCCAGCTCCTCATGTTGTGCTGACCCCCAGCTGTAAAATGATTTTCGTTGCTACTTCATAACTGTTAATTTTGCTACTGTTATGTCTTAGGCGACCCTGTGAAAGGGTCGTTTGACCCCCAGGTTGAGAACCGCTGGCCAAGGGAAGGCAGACAAGGACAGAAAGGGCTCAGAGGTGCTGGCCCTGCCCGTGTCTTACCCGTGATATTCTTCTGTAGGTCTCCTGGTATGTGCTCGCCTCGAAGGGAGGCTTCCCAACTAAAAACTCATAGCAAAGGACGCCAAGGCTCCAGAGATCCACCTTCTCGTCGTGCATCCGGCCCTCAATCATCTCGGGGGGCAGGTAGTCCAGGGTGCCGCAGAGCGTGGTTCTCCTGGAACGAGGGAGGCGAGGCTGACACGCTTGTTTCTATGACCACAACAGCTGCTAAGCATCATCAGCAACCACACTAATGAGTGCCCTTCCCAGGCCAGATCCTGTCCTAGGAGGCAGGTACCTTGAAGCCCCATTTTCGACAGGAAACAGACTGAGAGAGCTGTGCAAAATCATGCAGCTAGCAACCAAGCCATACCCCACATCTGTCCAACTCCAGAAACTCCTTAAATGGTGCAAAAATAAAAAATTTAAAGTACCACTGCTATACAGACAGCCATGCAACATTCTCTGTAAATACGACTTAGCGTTCTACATTTTTTTTTTTTACATAGTAGATATGCTAAGAAGCCTAAGAGCCAGGTGACATTAATGACAAGAAACAACTGTCCCACTGTGAAAGCACTTGCTGCTTTCTGATGCAGCGGGTACAAGAGACCAAAACTGGGGGGTGAGGGGGGATGAAGTATTCTTGACAAAAATATTCTTCATGCCCTTTGACCCAATGTTCACTTTTCAGCAAATACAGAAGATAAAGGAAAAAGTTAAGTGACACCATAGCAAAAAAATCCATTTTAAATTGTGGGGTGACTAATCTAAAGTTAGACCAAAGAGACACAAGCAAATAGAATGCAGGGACCATGGTCAGATTCTAATGTAAAGAACAGCTGTACAATGTTGTGGACAGCTGGAGAAATTGGAGCATGGACTAAACATGAGCTATCACCACGGTTACTGATTTTCTTCGGAGTGCTGAGGGCTGGGATTGGACAGGACAGGCCCTTATTTTTAGGAGATGCACACTAATGTGCTCCAAGGACAAAGCATCATGACACATGCAACTTATTCTGAAGGTTCACCAAAAACGCAGACACAGCCCATATGGCAAAGTCTTAACTGCTGAAGGTAGGCTGTGGGCAGTCAGGTGAGCGATCTGCCAATTCAGCGGCTGTATGTTTAAGTGGGCATCTACAATGAGGCTGGAAACAGGTTGGCAGAGGCAGACAAACCCGGAGCAATGACCGTGCAGATTCCTATTGCTTTGATCAGGTCTTCTTGGCCATCGGAGAGCTTATGCTGGGCCATGCCTGGAGCTCAGCGAGCCCTCAAGTGTTCCCTCAACTGAATGGTGACCAGGAAGGAGCCAGCTCTCCAGGCAGCTAACCCCTCTCGTGACCACTGAGTCGAGGGGGACAGCACCCAGTGACCTGGGAGCCCTTTATGATTACTATTTGGGAGGCTGGGCGAAGTGACCATCAACATTTACATAAATGTCCTTTTCAGAAAAGGGTCAGTTATCTTTCCTACCACAATGACACCATTGGACAGTTAAGGTACTTTTAGCCCTGTGATACCACAAAGCCTACATTTCTTCGTTGTTTGCCTCTGCAGGTGCCAACAGCGCCCACTAGTGACAGACAACCAGATTTTTAAAAAGCAGGTTCAATGCACTGCTAGAAACGACGACAGGTGGTGGGTAACAAAGCAAAACCACCCCACCCTAAATAAGGGCGCCTATTTATTAGCCTAAATAAGGGTGCCTATTTAGGCTAATTTTTAAATTGGATTTATTTTTAAAGCAATATGGCTATACTTTTATAAGTCCTACCCCAAAGTAGACAAACTCCAAATGGATGCTTTTGAACACTCTGCTTCACATGTGGTTTCAAAGTTTATTTACATTCACATTAAATTTAAAACAGTAGAGAACATTTTTGTTCTTGTTTGCAAAGTTCACTTAAGACTTGTTTCCTTAGGTTGATCTCTCTGCTTTAGCTTTAAGAAGGGACAAGAACGAACTATTCCGCAGACGACAGCAGACCAGAGAGAATCTCTAACCACCCCCCTGAAAGCTCTCCCCAGACCCATGCAGCTGTGGGGCTCCCTCAGAACTGGGCTTTCAGCCCTCGACCTTCACAGGCGCTGCCCCCAGAAGGGTCCCCACCCACCATTACATCAGGTGTTACTCCCCCTACACATCCTGTACCTCTCCTGTCAAATACATGTCATGTCTGTCTACTTACCTGTCCCGTTCATTAGCCTCTAAGGACATTAACCATCTTTAATCCCAGGCCTAGGGCGCAACAAATAAGAGGTTACAGAATAAAAATGTACTTGAAGACACTGTTTTACTGCCGGGGCCTGAATTACTCCGAAGCACTGTGTCAGTTACCCGCCCCATCCAGCAGCACACTATACGCAGTCTTACTGCTTCATTCATGACTGGCTACTGGAGCTTCCGCTGACCCGACAGTTCCGCCTCTGAGGGTACATACCTGGAGGAAGGAGCGTGCACGGACCACCCGAAGTCCGCAATCTTAAGCTCTCCAGCTGATCCAAGGAGCAGATTCTCTGGCTTAATGTCTCTATGAATCACTCTCTTTGAATGGCAGTAAGACAGGGCATTTGCCAATTCCGTGACATACTGGCAAAAAAGTATTAAAAAATCTGTGTTTTAGATTTTATATAACAAGTTAACTTTAAACATCTCTTCTGAAAGAAAACCCAACATAGATGTTTAACATGGTTTATAGGTTTTAAAGCAAAAGCGAGAACCAACTGATGCAAAAAGTCAATGGAAACAAATCAGTGTTCAGCATGGACAAGTTCCCTGCTGCCAGGTGATGGATTTGCCGACACAGCAACTGTGACATTGAAAGACAGGGAAACTGAGGGGCTGTGACCACACCCCCACATGGCAATTCTCAGTCCCAAAATTAAGATGACACTGAATGGCCCTGGCCGGTCTGGCTCAGCGGTTAGAGTGTCGGCCTGTGTTCCAGAGAGACCTGGGTTTGGTTCCCGCTAAGGGCATGTATCTCGGTTGCAGTTTGTCCCCGGCCCTGGTTGGGTTGTGCGGGTGGCAGCCACTCGATGTGTCCCTTTCACATCAATGCTTCTCTCTCTCTCTCTCTCTCTCTCCCCCTCCCACTCTATCTGAACAAAAAGTGGAAAAATGTCCTCGGGTAAGGATTAAAAAAAAAAAAAAGATGACACTGAATGAACAACCAGCACAAACTAGGGAGTCAGACATAAACAATTTTTAAAAAACACAATCTATAAAAATCTCTCGAGTACAGTCAATTCCCATTTTATTTATTTATTTTATTTTTTTGGTACGTGCTCCTAGCGGGAACTGAACCCGGGACTCTCTGGTCCGCAGACAGACGTTCCAACCGCTGAGCCAAACTGGCCAGGGCTCAATTCCCATTTTAAAACCAAGACCAATTTACACCAAAAGCATTTGTTTGAAGCTAAGCGTGTGCAGGAAGACTAGCCGGCAGAAAGCACAGCCCTGGGCCCAGACAGCCTGGAGGGGCGCTGGCACGCTGTCCGGGCCACGCACACTCGTTCGGCAGCTCCGGGCACACGGCACTCAACCTTCTGTTAGTCCTGTTTCCATCCCAACCAAAGAAAGAGCTAGCAAGTCCAGAGTTTGCTTTAACACGTAGAGGAGAGTTGTTATTAACACACTAAAAGAACATATTTAGCTCTGGATAAAGTTGGAGAAGGCTTTGTTTGCCAAAAGTAACTGGTAGACAGGACTGAACGTTATTCCACACCAAAAACGTTTACTCAACAGATGGGTAGAAACCAAAGGTCATTGTCAGAAAAGATGTTTTCTCATTTTTTATCAGCCAAAGCCAGAGACAAAATTTAGACCATGGTAAACCGAAAGTGAAGACAGAAACTCTCCCACAACAGGAGAATCCCGAGGGCGGGCAGGGTTCTCCTCCCACGTCGACAGGAGGCGCTCTGCCCCGGGCTCTGCAGTGCTGCTCCACACCTCCCCACTGCACTGCGGACCTGGGAAGCCCCTAATGTTTCTCTACAGCTAGTTTTATCTGAATTCATCAGCAAAGGAGAACAAGTGTGTGTGTGTGTTATACATACTCATCCTAACTGCCACAGACTCTCAGAACCAGTCTTGCCCGGTCGGTGTGGCTCTGGACTGAGAGGCCCCGGTTTGATTCCCGGTCAGGGCACATGACTGGGTTGCAGGATCGATCACTGGTGGGAGATATGCAGGAGGCAGCCGATCAGTGTATCTCTCTCACATCGATGTTTCTCTCTCTCTCCCCCTCTCTAAAAAAAATAATAATAATAATTAACAAATACATATTTAAAAAAGGAAAGAACCAGTCTTTTATTTCTTTCAGATAGCTGTCTGCTCACACCAAAATGAACTCCATCTGGACTGAAGAAAACTGAGCAGTATAAGTATTAATTGCCAATTAACTAACAAACTAATTTAGTTAGCTAATATTTTAAAAGCAAATAAAACAGATCTATTTCTACTTATCCGAAGAACGATCATTTAAGATCAAAACAGCACGTCTTCATTGCAGAGACAAGGCCAGAGGGTCCTTCACCAATCGAGCTGTGATTTCAGATGGTGAAGGTAAAACCACCCAAGTTCAACACCATTTAGATTGATGCCGAAAAGAAAAGGAGTGTATGTGGTACCCAGAGAGCTCCACCAAGAAACAAAACCAAGTAACCCCCATCCAACAGGTCCCTCATCTGCCGACTCAATAAAAAACAGCCAAAATTAAGACAGCTCTCCAAACAAGTAATTTCATTCAAATAAAAGAAGAGCACAATCCATTGGTGAGGGGGGACCCCAGAACAGAAACCTGGCATGTTGGTGCTTTAAAAACTTCTGCACTGCAAAAGGCACAGGTAAGTGAATGAAAAGACAAGCCACAGACTACGGGGAAACATTTGTCAAATACTGTGTGATAAAGGATTTGGATCCGAAATATATAAGAACACGTAAAACTCAACAATGAAGATGACCGAAAAAAGCAATTTAAAAAATGAGCAAAAGGTGTGAACCAACACTTCAAAGACGTGAGAGATGGCAAATAAGCACATGGATGACTGTCGACATCGTGTCATTAAAGAACCGCAGCTCAAAACGAGGGGACACCATCACACACCTGTCAGAATGACTAAGACCCAACACAACCACCTGCCAGCTGCTGGTGCGGAGGAGGAACAGGCCCCTTGCTCACTGATGGGGCCAATGGGACCGCCAAGGGGCACGGCCCCAGAACAGCCCTGCAGAGCGAGCGCACTTACCACACACGCCAACAACTGCACCCTGGGGTGCTGACTCAACAGATACGGAAACCTGTGTCTCACGAAAACCCGTAGGCAAATGTTGTCAAGCTTTATTCATAATCACCAAAAACTGGAAGCCACCAAGATGCCTTTCACTAGGTGAAGGGATAAACTGAGGTACATCCATACAATAAAATTACTCATCAACAAACAGAAATGAGCTATATCAACCTGAAGAGATACAGATGAATCCTAAATGCACACACCAGTTGTTTCCCACAAGGCTAACTGGTTAACAATTCTGATACCACTATCCCTGTAGATAAGCAGTGAATAATTAAACGGAGGGGAGAAGGGGGATCCAGGTTTCCCAGTGCTGGAGTGGGAAGTTGCAGAAACACAAGGAGGGTAGAATGAGCCCCAGAGTAATGGACTCCTGCTCTGCTTCATACAGACACAGACAGATGGCTACAGAAACACTGACAGACACGTGAACATACACGGATTGGTCTACACACGCTTCCTTGCTCTGTCAGCTGACCGCCTAGAAGTAATGACACCCAGTAGCAATGAGCACACCCAGCACCCAGATCTTGGTTTCTAATAACATTTTCCAATAAAAGGAACCAGTGCGCCCTGGCCGGTTTGGCTCAGCGGTTGGAGCGTCGGCCTGCGGTCCGGAGAGACCCGGGTTCAGTTCCCGCTAAGGGCATGCACCTCGGTTGCAGTTTGTCCCCGGCCCTGGTTGGTTGTGCGGGTGGCGACCACTCAATGTGTCCCTTTCACATCGATGTTTCTCTCTCTCCCTCCCACTCTACCTGAACAAAAAATGAAAAAAATGTCCTCGGGTGAGGATGATAAAAAAATAAATAAATAAATAAATAAAATAAAAGGAACCAGTGCTTCTAGGACTGGGATAGGAAATATGCAAGATGAGGCTGGAGCACCCAGTCATGTCAGAAAACGTAAACAAAAAGCCGCTACACACCCACAATGACGGGGGTGCCGGAAACACAGGGACCGTGAGAGCTCCCAGTGGACAAGCCGGAACTCTGAGCAACACAATCAGTACTATTAGACCGCACCTCGAAGTATAAGATAGATGAGTCCACATTAACAAATGACTGAGTAAACACAGAAGGACAAGATCCGACATCATTTATGGGATCCTCTGCCCTATAGGAGGTGGGACATAACCCCCACGCCTTACGTGCGGCTGCCCAGTATGGAAAGAAAAAGAGAAACCCTACAGGAGAAAGGCGACAAGGTAAGCAAGGCTGACACCCACAGTGACGAGTCAGTGTACCTTTGATGTGATGAGAAAGCATTTTACCTCCATGATCTGCCTCTCAAACACCCACTGAGCTAGTCTAATCGTGAGAAAAACTAAGGAAATCTGAGTAAGAATGACCTTCAGTTAACAGTTACGTATCAATATCTGTTCATTGGTTATGATGAATGTACCATACTAATGTAAGGTATTAATATGAGAAATGAAGTGTGCATTAGTAAGAAAAAACAGGTCTGTACTATCTTCACAATTATTCTGTAAATCTAAAACTATTCTAAATAGTTCATTTTTTTTAAAAAGGCCACTATTTATATACATTTCCATGGAAAACCAGCTTTGGAAACAAACCAGCCACAATATTCTACCGGGTACCTGACTTTAACTGTATGTACGGTACAGGGACTGGCTTGTCCGCCCCACACACCGACCCTACCCAGCTATCACTGCACTGCAACGCGCTGCGTCAGGAAAGGCACACCGCCACGCAGGACGGCGGAGGGCGTGGAGCTGGGCCGGACGCTTACCGTAGCGGTTCTCTGCTCATCAAACCTGGACAGTTTCTGAAGCTCTCTATAGACGGCTCCGCGAGGCGCATACTCGAGAATTAGGTAAACTCTGGTGGCATCGTGGAAATAACCATACAGCCGGAGAATGTTTGGGTGCCTGCAACGAAGGACGGACACTCAACACCTGGTCGAGCAGCAGACACAGAGCGTGTGCCCCACAGCGAGCAAGCCTCCGTGTGAAAGCAGGGGTGAAGCCTGGTCTGGCCACAGGAGCCCGCTCCCGACCCCCCACTTGAGAAGCTGAAACTACAGCCCCCCCTAAGAAACACACATATCACCCATCAGCTTACGTGCACTTCAAGGTATTGATGGCCCTGAGGTTTATCTAAGGCTATTGTTTCCTTCCTTTCGGCCATCTTCGTTCTCAGGGGGAAACGCAGCTGAGTCTTCATTCCCCGCAGAGGGAAAGGAAGAACCAGGCTCGCCCACGCAGCGGAGGAAAAGGAAGAGCCATGCTCGCCCACGCAGCCCAGGCCAAGTGCAGCGAGACAAGTGAGGGGCCTTCGAGAAGGGTGCTGCATGTGCTGCTCTCTGCCACCAGCCCTCCCGACCCCGCCGGCAGCCCAGCAGGGTAACCGACTCGAGTTTGAAAACACACCGAAAGCAAGGAAAACAAAAAACAAAAGAAAACCCCGCTGGCCAAGGTCAACCTGCAGGCTGCCTACCACCTCTGCTCACAACTCTGAGCAAGAGGTGTCGTCCCCCTTATTGTCCACCCTAAACACTCTGCTCATGCAGATCACTCCGTCAACATAAACCTTCCAGATAGTCTTCAGGCCCACAGCAGGTAAGTCTAGAAAAATCTGTGAAAGGGACACTTCCATCATTCCACAGGCCCGAGGCAGGCAGCAGTTCCCAGGCGTCGACCTTACTCACTTACTTCGGCCGACACTCACCTCAGGTGGGACTGGATCTCTACTTCTCTCCGCAGCTGGTGCTCCACGCCCGCTTTCTCCAGCTGGGCTTTGAACAGGACTTTCAGAGCCAGGATGAACTTGCTTTGCTTTTCTCTCGCCAAGTACACATTTCCAAACTTCCCTTTACCCAGAGGGCGACCAATTTCAAAATCGTCCAAAGCCCATTGCCTTCTAGGAAAAAAATGGATCGTTTTAAAATATCAAGAAAACCAACCTCTTCTAACAATTAATTAGTAGACACACCCTGTGAATAACTTTATATTTACTGTATTCAGAATGTACCCTCTGCCAGAACCAAGCCAATCCCACAATTGATGAGTGCCACAGACATTAACCCCCCACGCCCCCACTTGCCTGCCGTTGGCTGTGAGTCAATGACAAGGAATACTGTGGACTTTCAGTGCTGAAACACTCAACTGAGTGTCCTAAGGCACACAGACCACTTCATAACACTGAAGACCATAGGATTAGGGACGTAAATGGACGGTGAAGGATGCCCCGGAACCATCCGCGGGACACTTCCTAACTAACCACGGCCTCCTCTCCTCAGCCCCCGGGAGATGCTGCCACCCGCGGAGGACCGTGGAGAACCACCTGGTAAAGCAGGCCAACGGATCCCACAGGGCAGTCGGGGAGAACATCAGATTCTCAGAAAGTCTCCGCTAGGCACTAAGGCAGAAGAGCGGATGCATCCCTGCCTCCTACCATGATCTAGAGCCCAGACAGTGCAAAGACTGCGCGGAAGCTGCCGTAGCCAAGCTTACCCCGCGAGCACAGCCACGCCGTGAGTGCTGTCCAAATACTCGCACAACCACATGCGTACAGACAGTTCTGCAACATGGCCCATGTTTTAAACAAACCTGCACTTCTTATTCACATAGAACATATGGAACACACACAAACCATATGCAGTGGCTACTTCGGAGGACAGAAGGGGACTTTCACTTTACACGTTTCTGTAATAGATTCACACAAGCTTTTCTAAAGTTGAAAAACAAAAGAAAGACTTGAGACCCTAAGTAAACATCCATCATTAAAATCTATTTTATGAAGGTTAGAATCTTGGAAACATTTATATTTTCAAAGTGAAAATATAAAGACCTCCTTATTTTTTAGAGTCCCAAAATTAAATCTGCAATTAAATGGTGTATCCTAATAGAACAACAGCACAGAACTTCATAAATAAGATAAAACTTACTTTTTCGATTCTTCATTTTTCTGTTTTGATGCCGGTTCCTTTTCAGAGTTATTTCCTACATAAAATAATTTAAAAACCTGTTTTTAGAATAACTATACAGAATAAGTTAAGAATCTGTGAATAGAAGTGAATCAAAAAATGGTCACCAAAATATTAATGACATGTCCAGAATTATAGGTCTGGGCAATTTTTAGTTTTTGTGTTTGTTTTTTTTAATCCTCACCCAAGGACATTTTTGCATGTATTTCAGATAGAGAAGGACAGAGAGAGGGAGGAAGAGAGAGAGAGAAACATCAATGTGAAAGAGAGACATCGACTGGCTGCCACCCACACAACCCCAACGAGGGCTGGAGACAAACGGCAACCAAGGTACATGCCCAGCGGAAACCGAACCCAGGTATCTCTAGTCCACAGGCCGATGCTCTAACCACTGGGCCAAACCAGCCAGAGCCATTTTTAGTTTTCTTTACAGAAAAGAGGACCCACAACATAAGCTGCCTGCCACCCAGTAACTTCTACAAACTCCTAGAGTAAACATGAGCAGGCACGTACACAGTTAGGCCTTCCGATATCATGAAGACTTGAGACTATTTCCAAAGAAGCGCTGCTAAGGCAGAACTACGTCTTCCCAACCGTGGCAAGCTCCCCCCGTCACCTTTCCCACAAGGTGGGCCAGCCAACTGTCCATACACTACGTACAAATGTGATCAACGTGCCACTATACCCCTCATCGGTGGGCAACACAGAACTAGGGGCCACCAATCCAGCACGAGGTACGACAAACCAATGGTCCAACAGGGTGCTGAGGCCACTATCTCATCAGCCAGAGACTCTGGGACATTGGCTCTTGTCTTTCTCTGGCACTGAAACCCCAGCGGCAGCACAGCATGGTCCGCGTACACATTCCAATGCGGGGCGGTGGGTTTCCCGCCAGCGTTCAGCGTCTCAGTGAACGCCACCAATATAAGCACCATGTCCGCGTCGTTTAGTCCATGCTTCTGCGCCTCAGCTTCCTTCCCTGTGGGACTGAGCTGGTGACTGACTACCTTCAGAGTGGCCCCGAGGGCTGAGACAGGTGGGGGAAGAAAGCACCCATCTCACAGCCTGCGGCTTGTGGCACTCAGCGATGGTGAGTAGTGACTGCTGACACCCCTCCCACCCAGTTCAGGCCTCCCTCCTACCTGGTACCCGGTCCAGCATCACTACTCCAATTCACCCACACTGGAGTAAGCTCTCCACAAGGCCCGTCCGCCCTTGCTCCGTGCCCAAGCCTTCCAGCACCTTCCAGCACACAGGGGACGAAGCCCCTCCTCAGCATGACCACGCGTGCCCACGGCGACCTCCCCCATCGACTTGCTCGATTTCCTCCACACTGCGGAACCTTGGAATTTTTCAGTTCCTCAAACATACCCTGAGGGTAGGAGTCAGGTCTGTACCCTTCGCACAGGCCCGGCCCACAGGAGATACTGTTACTTCAACCTGACATTGAATTTTCTCCTCAGACTCAATCAAAATGACATAAAACTGGGGCTCCAAACAAGGCAAAACACACAGCTACATGAACTTGGCTTTTTTTTTGGTACGTGCCCCTAGCGGGAACCGAACCCGGGACTCTCTGGTCTGCAGGCCGACGCTCCAAACGCTGAGCCAAACCGGCCAGGGCACACTTGCCCTTTTTTTTTAATCCTCACCCAAGGACATTTTCCCATTTTTTTGTTCGGATAGAGTGGGAGAGAGAGAAAGAGAGAGAAACATCGATGTGAAAGGGACATATCGAGTGGTCGGCACCCGCAAAACCCAACCAGGGCCGGGTACAAACTGCAACCAAAGTACACGCCCTTAGCGGGAACCAAACCCAGGTCTCTCTGGACCGCAGGCCGACGCTCCAACCGCTGAGCCAAACTGGCCAGGGCACACTTGCCCTTTTTTTAGGCAACGAGAAAGCACAACTATCCAGTGGGTTTCAAAAAGCTCATTTACCAGGGGCTGGTGGCTGGAGCTGCTCACTCTTCTGCGTACTATTCGGTGGTCTGGAGACAGGGCGAGGGCCACTGGCTGCCTGCAATTGCTTCTGCTTCAGATTCTGAGCCGGTTTGTGGCTGGAGACAAGCTTCTGTGCATGTGAAGGAACTCGCTGGGAGGAATTGGAAGGACACAAGACCCGCTGAGCCTGGCCACTATTTGCAGATAACGGATGCTGAGAAGGAAATTGTTGAGTCACCGGAACACGCTTTGGACCCTCACCAGGTAGAACTGTAGTCTAGGTTAGGAGGGAAAAATAAAAGAAGCTTCAAGGTCTTCATAAAGAAAAGCTGAATATCCTGAGAACTTGTTTTCTAATATAACAAAATAAGACTGTCACTGATAACAGATGGAATGAGAAAGCTATTTCAACCAGCACTCTCGAAGGCTATGGTTAGTACATGGCTGAAAGGAATACCTGAATGACACTCCCCCTCCCCATGCCCCGCCCAAACACCGCGCTCCCATAACCAAAGTTCATTCACTAAACTTCCATGTAAAGAGGGAGACAAACTCTAAGAATTCAATGACTTGGGAATTACCATTTAGCAAAAAGTTGCAATACAGAAACATTATACCAAAATCCCAATTGCATGAAATTTCTTTGACAACTCATGTTGAGGGGGAAAAAAATGAAAAAAAAAAAAAAATACATCAAACTGTTCAACTGTGATTATCTTCAACTGAAGAAGTTTTAAAAGAATTTTTGTATTTGCCAGATTTTCCACAAAAAGCTACTTACAAAACAGACCTGAGGCAAAAGAACTTTGAAAAAGGAAACAAACATAGGTTCTTCAAAAAGTTATCATCAAAGCCCTGGCTGCTTTGGTTCAGTTAGCGCATCAGCCCAGGAACCAAAGGGTCAAGGGTTCAATTCCCAGTCAAGGGCACGTACCTGGGTTGCAGGTTCGATCCCTGGTCCCAGTCAGGGACGTTCAGGAGGCAACCAATCAATTTGTCTCTCTCACATCGATGTTTCTCTCCCTCTTTCTCTTTTCCCTCCCTTTCCAACTCTATCTTAAAAAAAAAAAAAAATTAATGAAAAAATATCCTCAGAGGAAGATTAACTAAAAAAAAACTATTACCAAAATATATTATTTACATGCCTGTAACTAGGATATCACCAACTTAAAAATAGTTAATTTAGCCCAGCTGGTGTGGCTCAGTGGTTGAGCATCGAACCCTGCACCAAGAGGTCACCAGTTCGATTCCCGGTCAGGACACGTGCCCAGGTTGTGGGCCTGATTCCCAGCGGGGGGCATGCAGAAGGCGACCAATAGATGTTCTCTCTCATCGATGTTTCTATCTCTCTCTCTTTTCCTCTTTCTCTAAAATCAATAAAGAAAAAAAAAAAACCAGTTAATTTATTTCTAAGACCCTGAGCTAATCAAATGGGGATACGGAGGGGACACTCTCTCCGGCTTTCGTAGGAGGAAGTTTCCTAATAAAAACGGAAACCGTGCCAGAAAGGGAAGCCTCGGAGTCCATCTCCAGCTCACTGGTACGAGAGGGTCCAAGTATAAAGTCAGTTACTTCTGAAATTAGCGGCATCCACAACACAGTAGGCATTCAGGCAGTGGCAAATAAACATTTTAAATAGAGCAATTTTTAAAAATGATGTTTATCCTAGGAAATGAGAATCAAATACAGTGAATCAGGTTAACCTTTTTCTAATTGGTCAATTTATACCTTGTCAGTAAAAAAGGGTCAGTATCCATTTATTTGAAGATGAAGATGTCTAAAAACAAGCCCCCCATGCCTCCCAAAAAACCCAAGCAATATTTATATGAGTATGCTGTTTTCCTGGAGATTATTTATAGTAAAGAATCTTTACATGAGAGACTCATTCACCCAGTGTTCCACAAATATTCATTAAATACTAAGAACCAGGGGTCTTTTCTTGGTGCAGTCTTCCTGGATTCCAAGCTATCCCAATCTGAACTGAGCACCCCTCCTCAGAATTCTGAGGTCCTACTGACACATAGCAAGGCACGGTACTGGCTCACACGCCTCCCCTGCCGGGCTCCAAGTGCCACCAAGTCAAAGACCACATGCTCAGTCCGCGCATCCGACCCAGAAGCCGGCACAACGCGGAGTCCCAGGGAACCTTCACTGACATGTGCGTGACAGTCCTCTGAACTTACCACTCCCTGACTCGAGGCCAAAACAAACTACGGCAAAGAAATTAACTTCTGGCAAACAAGTACAGGCAAGTATTAGGCATCTACTGTGTACACTATGCTGCATACAATGACGAACACAGACTTGAACAGCTAAGTATGATATACAGAACAAACAAGATACAGCGAGAGCACCAACAAAATGTTCCTGAACGCTGAGAAAAGCGATCTGAAGCTACAAATCCGAAGTGAAGGTGAGAAGAATTCCAGATAGAAGACGAATCTCCATGTGGGTCTTATAAACGTGGCAGAGATTACAGATTACTCAGCTTACCTTAACCGGCCCTGAAGTGCAGTTTTCTTTAGATTTGTCCATGATGCCTGAAAAGAAAAACAATCTTGAATTCACACTAGCTGCTTCAAAGTATTGTTATGCTAGATCAGGGTCACATCTTCAACAACACACAGAATTTTATACTTTTTCTTTGTCCAAATAAAACTGACAAGGGAGCACTGTTTTCCCACGTGACATAATGTTCAGGTGTGGACCTTTTCCCATAAGACCAACCTCCTGTCCCCCAGTGCACTGCACTGCACCCCCTTCTCCCTTCCCCTCCCCGCCTGCTACTCAGACTTCACTCCTGAACTGACTCATCCCTCTGCTCCATCATCTCCTCGCAAATGGATCACTTCCACCCGCGTTCAAACCTGCTTCCAAACCTGTTACCTTAAAAAAAAAAGTCCTCTTTATGCCCTAACTGATCTCAAGGTATGACCTCGCCTCCCCTTTCAACAGTAAAGCTCTAGAACAGCTGTCTCTACTACCTACGACTTCTCTCACCCTCCTTGGGCCCACTCCCCTTAGTCCACCTCATCACTGCCCCCTGCTGTCCAAATCCACAGGTCAGTTCTCTGCCTCCATCTTACCCGAGTTCTAGGTAGCAGGACAAGCTCAATCACTGATTTTCCACTCCTTTCTTCACTTAGCTTAGACTAGGCCCATGAAGTCCTCGAATGCAGACCTTGACCACTGCTCTAACTGTGTCTCCTCTTGTCTACTGCACACCAGCCATACAGGGCTCCTGTTCTTTCCTCAAGAGTCCCTGCCACAAGGCATGTGTACTTCCTGTTCCCCCGACAGAAGTGTGGCCTGCTCCTCCTTTCATGCAGTCTCTGGTCAGATGTCCCCTTTTCAGACCATCTGTCCTTTATTTTTCTTCATAGCCCTTACTTAACATCTTACACAACATTACTTGTATATGTTTACTTTCTGTCTCCCCAGACTCAGATATCCAGCTACCTACTCAGTATCTCCAAAAAAAGTAAGCTCCAGGACAGCAAGGCCTTAGTCCCACTGGTTCAAGGTCTCCCCAGACATGCCCTGCATGTAGTATGTACACCAACATTTGGGGAATAAATTAATCCATTAACAAAGCAAATCAATCATAAAAGTGATTTGTAACATTTAGCCCATTCTGTGAGTCAGGCACCCACCCATCAGACAGAACATAAACAAGTAAGCAGAAAGCTTTCTGTGTTTTTCTTCCTGGTGCTCTCCAATAAGAGAGCACCCCCCACCCCCAAGTCATCATAAGCATTTCATGAATTGGCAAATCACTCCACCTTGGGGCTGCTAAAGGGCCTACAGTTCCTAGAAGTAATAGAAAGACGTGGAAAGATATGCCTGTGTTATGCAAACATTAATTTCTCACAGGTTCTACTACTTGCTTCACTCTCCCTAACAATGATTAGCAACAGACTAATGAGATCACATAGCCAAAGGACATATGCTCCACAGCCTTCAACAGAAACTACAAACATTTGCTCCAATTTAGTACACTCTTCCTTCCCGGGAAAAATAAGTGGAATGCAATATGATTCTGACCCAGAAATTCTGGAGGAAGCGCCAAGAAGACTGCTTCTCAGGTGACTCTGGTCTACAGCCCGGTTCGTGGGTCACGTGACCAGATGACCTTCACCGGACTCCTGGCAATTTACACAGGAAAACTATTAGATCTATAACACTGCGGGTTTAGGCTTTTCCTTCCTTCGTGGAACCTACTAACATCATCTGCACAGATAGGTAAGAGTGGAGAGGAAATAAAATGAGTTATACTGCTGAAGAGGGTGTAAGTCAAACAAGGAAAGTCAAGGAGGAGACATGTAAAGTCGAGGGCCGCAGCAACCTCCACACAGCACGAGGGTTAGAAAGACAGACTCCCAGGCACAACCCCGACCTGAAGGACCACCACCAGTTCTTTGGGGAACATCAGAATCACCTGGAGAGCTTGATGATCGCAGACAGCCCGAGTCCCTTGCTCCAGCCTTCTGACTCATGGGGGGGGGGGGTGTCTACGTGTTAACAAGAATTCCGACCCGGGTGGTCTAAGGTCAGGACAAGGGCCCTTTCCTGGCTGGTCTACCCCCCTAAGCCACGGCTGTTCTCTCCTTCCTGACACTCACCTGCTGGAAGTTCTCCGCGGGTTCGGCCTCTGCTGCCCCACCCCCACCAGCACGTAGCCGCCAAGGCAGCAGAGACCTCCCGTACGTTTCCTCCCCCAGGTGCCCACCAGAAGACGAGCTTCCCATCAGACAGCACGCCAACCTCAGCTGCCCGACCACTCCAGGTGTTTAAGATACACCCAGCGGCAGGGCGCCTTGGTACCGGGAGCAGAGGGTGGGGGCGCTTGGAAAGGCGGGGGGGGGGGTGAGACGGAGGGCAGGGGGGGGGGGACGGAGGGCAGAGTGGGGGGGACGGGGGGCAGAGTGGGGGGACGGAGGGCAGGGAGGGGACGGACGGAGGGCAGAGTGGGGGGGACGGAGGGCAGGGAGGGGGAGGGGGACGGAAGGGAGGCGTCCTGGGGAAGGGCAGAGAAGGATGAGGGACCGAAGGACGCTTTCTCACCCCGACTCTCCCCTCGCCAGCCCCGCCGCCCGCGCCAAGGCCCCCAGGCCGGCCGCTGTCGCCCTCCCGCCGCACGGACCTGCGCCGAGGCCCGGGCACCTGTTGGCTCCGGCCTCCGACCCAAGGCCGTCGAGTCCTCCGGAGAGCCGAGCCGTTGGGATTCAAAGAGTCATTTTAAATAGGAGTTAAACTCTCTGGTCCGAAAGCTGATTGGCCTGGGCTAGAGAGGCGCTGCCTTCTCATTGGTTCACAGCCAACGCGACGGATGTTGTCACGTCCCAGGAAGGCACACGCGGCGCGCAGGCGCACTTGCTCCGTCAGGCCCCGGAAGTGAGGGCGCCAACGGCCCGCCAGGCCGGTGTCTGTTCTAGCGCCCGCGCTGCTCTCCAGGACGCGACATTTGTCTGTGAGAACAGAAGCCCTTTGGCGTCAGGGTTGTCGCATAGCAGATAAAGTCGGAGCGGGGTGAACGAACCTCTCGAAGGTGCCAGTAAGTAAGATGGCGAGACGGGCAGGCGAGAGGGGGCCGATCGATAGCGCAGCGCTCGGCGCGGCGCCCTGTGCGCGTGCGCGGTGATGTGCGCTCGGAGCGATTGCTCGGGCAGGGTTCGCGCCTCCATTTTTCTGGAAGAGCGGGAGACCGAGAGAGCCGGACTCGCGGGTACCGGGGCCTGGGCTGCGGGGGAGTGGCTGGTGCGGCCGGGCTGCGGCCTTTAGGGGGCCACGGGGAGGGCTGGGGTGAGGCGCGAAGGGGCGATGGTGAGCGGGGAGGCGTGCGCCCTGAGTTGCCAGGCGGGGCCTGTTCCCTCCTCCTCCAAGGCCTCGCTCGCTCCCTCCCTCCGCCTGAGTTCGCCTCTCTGCCTGGGCGGGAGCGGCGCGCACCGCGAGGGGCCGGCGGTTCTCTCGCCCTGGTCCCTCCTCCAGCCCGGGACGTTACCAGCCCCGAGTTGGGTTCTTCCGGCCTCCGGCCTCGGCGTCCTCACCTGCAAACGGAGCGGAAATGGGGCGCCCACGAGCCCGGCGACGCCGCTCCGCGGGAGTTGAGGAGCCGGCTCGTCCTCTCGCGTCTTTGTTTCATCTGCCTGTGCACCCCAGGATGGTCCTGGCGTGAGTGAAGACACGGGGGAGAAGAACGGCGAAGTTCTGGGCTCCGGCGTGGACAGGCCTGGCGGCCACTTGCACCTTGGACGAGTCAGTGACTCGGCCACATGCTACTTTCGTTGGATTTCTTAACCTCTTTGACCCAGTTTCACCGTCTCTGTCGCGTTTAGTGTTGTCTACACACGCGTAGATTTATTTGCATTTGCTTCGACCCGTGCTTGCCAAGTCCACTGCGTGATGTTAAATGATTTTATGCAGTGAGCTAATGCTTCCTTGTAAAGGGCTCAGCCTGGGGTCTGGCAAGTGCTTAATTAGTGTTAGCTGTTGTTGTCAACACCCATCAGTGCAGCGCAGCAAGAACTCGGGCTGTGGAGTCAAATAGCCTCGGTTAAGTTCCAGGCTCTGCCGTTTAGTTACAAGCTGTGTGCTCTTGAGGGAGTTGACTTCTCTGGGCCTCGGGTTGCCGTCTCCTAAATAGGATTGAATGAAGTGGTGCATATCAGTTGCCTGCACGATGTGTGTTATGTACTATGATGAGTGTCCTGTAAATTTTAGCTAGGTTATTGTTGAGTTAAGGAGCACCACAGTCTCTACAGTCACACCACCTGTATTCTAGTCCTGGTTGGTCCAGGCACTACTTGTGAGACCTTGGGCACATTTTTTTCCCTCCTCATCTGTAAACAAGATTACTGGACTTCCTTTATAGAATGGTGTAAAATAGAATATGGTAAATACTCAGTAATCGTTAGCTATTATGATCGGTAGCTTCAGTAATTCTTCAGAGATAGTTGCATAGTTAGAAAACTTGATTTTCTGCCCCTTTCCTATAACACTCCCCCTTCTAGAATCACCCCTGTCAAGTACAGCACTACTGGGAGGTACTGTGTTCCTGTTCACTCACTTTCTTCTTTCTCACATTCATCTCTCTCCCGTGCTCTCCTTCCAGTTTTTTCCTGCGCTGCTATAATCACCTGTCTGCATATGACTTGCACTCCTTTTTATTTTAACATTGATTTTTAGAGAGAGAGGGGAATGAAGAGGGAGAGAGAGAGAAACATCGATGAGAGAGAACATCGATTGGTCGCCTCCAGCATGCGCCGGGACTGGAGGTTTGGCCCACAGCCTGGGCATGTGCCCTGACCAGGAATCGAACCAGCCACCTCTTGGTGCATGGGTGGGTGCTCACTGAGCCACACCGGCCGGGCATGACTTTTATTCTTTATTGCTGTCCCCAGGCTCCTCCAGCCTTCTGATATCTATCTATATGTACCCATAGATACAGACATTGGCTTTTGACAAATTATCTAATCACGTTCACCATTTGGAGTCATAGTTGTGGTGGTGCTGGGGTGTGTGTGTGTGTTGGGAGTTTTTTGCATAAACCAGAAACTATCACCTACCATTTCCTGTTTCACTTTCTAAGACAGGGAGAACTTAGACACCTGTAAATCAATCGAAGTGCACAATTCTCCAGGTTTTTACTTTTTTTCTTTCATTTTTTTATTGTTTTGGCTGTATATTATTTGCCAGTATTTTATTGAGCAATTCACTTTTGAGTATTTCCAAAGCATTCAACTTGATTAAGTTTTCATAACACAATAGGTGTTTCACCCTCATATTTTGATTTACTATCTAAGTATATAATTTAACAACTTCAGTTGCTTTAAAACATATGTTAAGACTGAACATTACTGACATTAGTAAATGTCAGCTGGTAGAAACTGCAATGTCTTGACATCTAAAACTGGCCACTGCCTTACCTGTTGCCAACACCAGTCAATGTTTTATTAACAGAAGAAATGGAAGATTCTGGGATAGCGAGAAAGAATAAAAATCACAGGTAGTTTGGCAGAGAAGAAAAAACTGTCCATATCAGCTGGCATGATCTGAATAATGTCTGTGCCACTCTGCCCAGTGCTGCACGTGCACCATCTTGTTGAACCTCCACTAACTTGTTTCAGAGCTGGGGAACCTGATCTCAGACAGACGAGTCACTGGCCAGAGATAATGCAGGTGGTAGAGCTGGGGTTGAGCCCCACGGGTCATACCTGATCTTTGTGTCGCCTCTGGTTTACTGGTGCCTCTCCCCTTCACCACTCACCTGTCTTCTCTTTTTGCAGCTGGAGAGAAGTTGCTTTCCTCTTCCCCACGATGTACAGAACCAAAGTGGGTGAAGGACCGCCATCAGCTCTACAGGTTCATCATTAGCCAGCTGCTCTGTGATGGCTGCATCAGCATTGCTAATGGCCTCATCAGTGGAATCAAGCCTCAGTCTGTCTGTGCTCCCTCAGAGCAGCTCCTGCATCTCATCAAACTAGGTAGTCATGAATGCAAATTCCCCGATCCCTTGACTGGGTTTCAGCTGTTCTCACGCATCACCATTTGTCGAGAGTATGTCCGTTTGGTTTTAGTGCCTAGTGTGTGACAAGTACAGTGCTAGATGCTGAAGGAGTAAGCAGAGTCCAGATTATGAAGACTTCGAGCTGATTCTAGCCTCAGGGTCTTTATACGAATTGTCTGGAGCATTCTGTCGTCGGCTTATTGACTCTTCAAGTCTCAGCTTAAACTGTCCTTCCAGAGTCCTCGTTATCTCTTCTAAAATGACCCCACTACCATCCCCATACCTCCCCACTTACCCTTACAGTCCCGTCGCCTTCATAACAGAAGTACTGTCTGAAATTTTCTTTGTTGTTTTGGGTTGTTTTTCACACAATCTCTACCTCTCCCGAAACAAGCTGCAAGCTTCCTTAAAGTTCAGGACCTTTTCCTGTCCAACCGCGTGTCCAGGTGCTCGCCTGGGTCCCGGAAATACTCGGGGAAGACACAGGATCACCACACGCTTGTGCCCGTTGCTTGGCCATGCCAGCTGTGAGAACTTGTTATATGGTGTGGTTCTGCTTTGGTTTTAAGAAATGAAACAACTTTGTGCATGGAGAAAGGTCCAGGATTTATACCACGTTAACAGCAATTATCTCTGGGTGATAGGGTCGTTTTTATTATTGTGTACATCTGCATTTCTAATTTTTCCTGTGCTAATAAACATTATTTATATGGTATGTGGAGCTATTAAATTTAAAACACATCCTTGCTAGACTTCAGTTTACGTAACTGTCAATGTCTTTCAGATAGGTTTCCGTGGTGTTAATGTTGGCAATGTGTCTGACTTCATGGGCTTCCGATCTTCTAACATCTCAGCGCTAAAAATACGGAAACCTGGAATGGGCAAAAATGGACAGTTTAACTATAAAACTACTGTTTTGAGTTTCTGTTTCTGTAGTTAAAGTAGACTATTTTGGAGGTGGAAATAGGCATAGTGACTCCTTATTGAAGCCTGACCTTTTGCAGCTCACATTACCTCACAGAGTGGTCCCTCCATGCACCCTGGTCCTTGTGCCTGGTTTTGTAAAGTACTGAGTGTCCTGCACAGGTGACATTGGCAGGCCCTTTCCCTGTTCAGATCCGATACTTTGTCTTGGCCTTTTAAAATAACATTTCTCATGCCCTTGATCGGGTTCCTTTTAGGAATGGAAAACGATGACACTGCAGTTCCGTGTGCAATTGTCCATTCCGACACGGTGTCCCAGGCACAAGGATTGACCTGGAGTTCGATGCAGATGTCCAGACCATGTCCCCAGAGGCTTCAGAGTATGAAACCTGCTATTTCACGTCCCATAAAGGACCTTGCCGAGTAGCTACCTACAGTAGAGATGGGCAGCTAATAGCTACTGGGTCTGCTGACGCCTCCATAAAGATACTCGACACAGAAGGAATGTTGGCCAAAAGTGCCATGCCAATAGAGGTAAAGACCCCTGTGCCGTTCTTACTGTTTGCCTCTTGTTCCTTTGTAGGAGAAAGAGTAGTTGAAACCACCTTTAACTAAACACAGTTGTAGGGTGTGTATTGTGAATCAGATTTTACACTGCCTGTCTCCTCTTGTTGGCCTAGGTTATGATGAATGAAACTGCACAACAGAATATGGAAAACCACCCGGTGATTCGGACTCCTTATGACCATGTGGATGAAGTCACATGTCTCGCTTTCCACCCAACGGAACAGATCCTTGCCTCTGGTTCAAGGGATTACACTCTGAAGTTATTTGACTATTCCAAACCGTCTGCAAAAAGAGCCTTCAAGTACATTCAGGTTAGGAGCATTTGGGAAGACTCTTCACATTTTTTCTTAAATACAATGAGTTGTTGTATGGCTGTTCTCTTTTTAGAATTAGTCTCAGAACGTATATAAAAAAAGAGTACAGCCTGGCCGGTGGCTCAGTGGTTGAGCATCTACCCATGCACCAAGAGGTCCATGGTTCGATTCCCGGTCAAGGCACATGCCCAGGTTGTGGGTCTGATCCCCAGGGGGTGGCCAATCAGTATTCTCTCTCATTGATGTCTCTGTCTCCCTCTCTCTCTAAAATCAATAAACAGAAATCTTTTTTAAAAATACAGCAACGAGGTCATATGCCACAGGTGGTGTGTGGCTCAGATTCTACTGGCACGGGGTTTCCGTGCCCCTGCCCTCTGGCCGGTCAGGACTGCTGCTGGTCCAGTTGCAGATCCCTGTTTAAAAACAAAACGACCACTTCACTAAAGTGTCACTCGGGAATAAAACATTACTCAGTTTAAACTAGCACATGCTGGAAGTGACATTTGATGCCTTAAAGTACTTTGTTCCTTCTCATACCTGTGTGATACCTGATCTTTGCATCAGTTGAATGTTTTCCACATTTCCTCTGGAGGTCATTGTTCCGCAGTTGGTCATTTAATGTTCATGTCTCTGTCCTAACAGGAAGCTGAAATGTTACGCTCCATCTCTTTTCATTACCTTCCGGAGACTTTATCCTTGTTGGGACTCAGCATCCTACTCTTCGGCTTTATGATATCAACACATTTCAATGTTTTGTCTCTTGAATCCTCAAGATCAGCACACCGATGCCATATGTTCTGTTAACTACAACTCCAGTGACATCATGTATGTGACCGGCAGCAAGAAGGGCTACAAGTTGTGGGACAGTGTCTCAAATCAATGCATCACAACCTTTGAGAAAGCACATGACAGCGCTGAAGTTTGTTCTGCTATTTTTTCCAAAAATTCTAAATACATTCTTTCAAGAGGAAAAGACTCTGTAGCTAAACTTTGGGAACTATCAACAGGACGAACGCTGGTCAGATACACAGGTACGTGAGAAATTGCTATTACTCAACACTTACGTAGCATTTTACAGTTTTGAGAACTCACTGTAGGTCAGGGAAACCAAGGCTTAAACTAGGGTTACATAGTTTAGCCAGACCCAGCCAGTGTGGCTCAGTGGTTGAACATTGACCCATGCACTGAGAGGTTGCTGGTTCGATTCCCGGTCAGGACACATTCCCAGGTTGTGAGCCAAATCTCCAGTAGGGGGGCATGGAGGAGGCAGCCAATCGAAGCTCTCTCTCATCGATGTTTCCATCTCTCTCTCCCTCTCCCTTCCTGTCTCTGACATCAGTAAAGACAAAGAAAATAGTTTAGCCAGGCTACAGTCAGTAAGAGGCAGAGCTGCAGATAGAGCCCCCGTGTCTTACCTTTGCTCAGTACCTTACAGCTTAAACTAGATCTGAGTCCATGCGGGTGGCATGTGAGAACCTGGGTCTGTTTGCAGACTGAAGGCTTGCCCTTCTCTGCAGTTCGGAGAAAAGCCTCCGGAAGTGTGCACATGGAGACGGGGCTGAGAGGCAGGATCCTGGCCCATTCCCACCAAGCAGAGCTTGCCCTCAAGTGAGACCACAAGCTCTGAACTGAGATACAAAGCGGGCCCTTCAGACAGAAGAACAAAAATACGTTCTTCTGCTTCTCGTTAATTCATGTAGGTCTCCAACTGGTAACAGGTGTGCATGTGAGCTCTATGATGATATTTTTATCCTTTCACTAGTATGTTTAAGTCGAACTGTTTAGGGTGTGTTGTTAAAATACTGTGTCTGGTGCTTCTGTTCCTGTAGAAGCAAAGGCTGTTGTTTGGTAGGAAACCTCCAGGAAATTTCAGCTAGCTCTCTCCTTTGTGGGCTGTTTGTGTCATGTGCTGAAATTGCCATGATTGTAACACAGAAACTCCTAAGAAACACTGTTGAAAGGGGCTCTGCTGTGGTGGTGGTGCGGCGGCGGCATTTCAAAGAAAAGAATTGGTGGCATCCGAACCACTAGGGGGCAGCATTGCCTGCCACAGATTTAACTCATTGAAACCCAATTTTGCTTTCTCTGGCTTCTGGTGTAGATGGTACAACTAACAAGTCTTGGGCAAAGTTGTTTTTATCATAGTTCTTGGTGACTTCATAGAAACACCTACTTTTGTATGAACCTAGTTTGAAAACTGATTATTGCTATGAAATAAAGACTGTGTACATGTCGCAAAAGAAGATATAAAAGTGGTCAAAGTGAAGGTAGAAAGACTTGAGCAATAATAGCCAGTTTGAGTGTGATGAGGGTGGAAGGGTACAACAGACTGCTGACAAGGATTTATTATTTTTGTTTTTTTTGTTGTTTTTTTTTTTAGGAATGTTTGGAATGTTTTATGGTTGGTTGGTTTTGGTGAAGAACTGGGATTAGATTTTAAATGAGATTGTACTGGATGTATATGCAGATCTCTTTTTCTAATCACAGGTTAAGACTCCTTGGTGTCAGCAAATTTAGATCTGTTCCCAGTTTTAATGTTTAGTTAGAATTCAGAGGGCTCTTGAAATAATGAAGGAATAGAGAAAACTACCAATTGAACATTAGAAATTTTTATGTTAAAATTTAATTTAAAACATTGAACAAAATCAAAATGCTGGAAGTAGTCATAGCGTATATAACAGACACATGTCAGACATTGGTTAGCAAACATAAGAAAAGATAAATGACCGACCTCACGTAAGAAATGAAAAGGGAAGTATCATTTTGTGCTCACCGAGATTTCAGGAATTTAAAAGGTTGGTATTAGTAAACATTTCAGCAAATCACATATTGTTAAGAACATCAATTAGTAAAATATTTCTGAAGGGCAGTTTGGTGTCTTCAAAATTTTATATATGTATACATACACACAGGATGGGGCAAAAGTAGGTTTACATTTGTCTGTACAGAAATTAATACAGTAATTAATAATAATACAGGAATAAACTCTGTTTCATGTGCTCACAACTGTAAACCTACTTTTGCCCCTGTATTTTTGGACCCACTTGACCCACTCCCAGAAATTCAGCCTAGAAAGACCTTTGGGTCAGCATGTACATGCACACACATAAAGGTGTCCACCCATGTTGTCCGGAGCAGTGGAAACTTGGGAACAACATAAATGTGCACCAGAAACGTCGAGTAAATTTCCTAGGAACAGTTACCGAGTGTGTTCTCCCTCATTTAATCCCCACAGCAGTCTTGAGGGTGGTGCTGTAATTATCCCCATGAAACAGGAGAGGATTAAGACTTGGGGTGTAAAGTAATTTGTTTAAGGTCACATACTAACAAGTGGTGAGTCCAGTTCAGACACCAAAGTTTGTATTTTTATCCATTAAGGTATGTTCCCTCTTTATATACTATTAAATAAGAACAGCATGTGATGTATGCTCTGATTTATATAATTTTCAAATGAGTGTACAACACGGAGATATTTGGAAAAGATGGTCATTAAAATATTCACTATGGGTATAAAATTATCAGGCAGTTTATTTTTTAAACAAGAAATTTTTTCATTGTCATAAAAGCATAAAGCTTTCATTTATAGAGCAGGTTGTTTCTACATCCCAGTAATTCTATTCCTAGGAATTTAATTCTAAGGAAATGATGTGTTCTGTACAAAGAATATTTATTACAACATTACTAGCTATTGGATACAAACTAAATGCCTAGCAGGAAAAGAACTAAGTAAGTAATGATATTTCCAAACAATTATTACTTTGCAGACTAAAAATGATGGAAAATGTACCCAACAGAAAATTGGTTTAAACTATGATAGAAAAAACATATAATGTGGCACCAATATTCTATAGTTTTTAAAAAGGTTTTTATGCCTCAAAGTTCATCACAGTTAACAGAGTTGCCTAGAGTTCCCAAAATTGTACACTTAATATGTGATATTTCAGCAAAATCAAAATGCTGTTTTTACATCGATGGCAATAACCACCAAAGTAGAGCAGTCGATTGTGAGTCTAAGGTGTGAACTTTGAAAGCCACCCTGGTTCCCAGCCCTAACCTCTCACTGTGCGCAGGTGCTGGCTTGAGCGGGCGGCAGGTGCACCGGACACAGGCCGTCTCCCATCACACAGAGGACTACGTGCTGCTGCCCCACGAGAGGACCATCAGCCTGTGCTGCCGGGACTCGCGCACCGCCGAGCGCCGGAACCTGCTGCCCCTGGGCCGCAGCACCATCGTGCGCTGCATCGTGCACTCGCCCACCAACCCCGGCTTCCTGACCTGCAGCGACGGCCTCAGGGCCAGGTTCAGGTACCGGACGTCAACCACGGACTAGAGCCCCGGCCTTCAATAGGTCTCTTCTTGAGGACCCGTGTCCCCCCCCGGCCCTGTGCCCCGCCACCAGCCTCCGTAGTAAGTCATCGTGCACCCTCTGTGCAGCCGGGCTGCCACCTCCACCTCCTTCTTGGATTTGTACAGAAGGATCTTTTTTACCTTGATGTGGAATCATGTGGATAAAGTGGGAAACGCAGACCGTGCCGGTCTGAACTCACTGCTTCTCACAGTGTGACTCCCTCGGTTTTGTAAACACAGGACTTGCCACTTCTCTGGGTCTCTTGATCCTTGGAGAAGGGTCGGGTGTCAAAGTGCTTTCCGACCTCAGGTGGCTCTGTCCTGAGCAATTCTCACCGGCTCTCTGTCACCCCCGTGCCTGTTCCACAGCCTCTCTGTGCATTTCCTTTCAGAACGCATTTTGGCAGACAGGCATGCGGCCCGAGACCCGAGCTCCGCCCTCCTGACACCATTCCAGAACCAGCGCCGCCGGAAATGACGTCCTGCAGCAGCTCAGGCCCGCAGCGCCCCTGTCACTCACTCGCTCAGGAAGTGAGCAGCCGCTTTCTGCAGATGGACAGGAGCCTCTTCCATCACACCTGCCACCTTAGCCTTTCTGGACCCGCAGTGCCCGCCTCCAGGGGCGCATCTCCCACCAAGTGGCTCCATTGAAGGGACCGTCCCTTTGGGGATCATACCCGACCTGACCAGCATTAGGTGAGCCCACCACTGCCTCGGGTGTTGCTCATCTGCATGAATGCTTACTGCTGATTAACTCTGTTCTTCTGTCATTTTAAATCTTATTTTTCAAATTGAGGCAACTAATTGTGAACGCACACAGCAACTGTTCTCAGAAGATCGTTACAATTCACCAACTGATAGGCATTTTCTTTTTCTTGACACTTTTTAGAACGTGACAATATTTCTCCGGATTCAGCTCTAGCTGGGTCAGAACGCACAAAATTCCCCTCACCAAGTAACTGGTTTATATTTATCCTGAAATACAAATACCTCATGATCTGGATGGGAGTACCTAGAAATATAATCTGGGAATATTAGGTAAAACCTATTAAACAGGTTAAAGTAATTGTTCTATATTGTAGGAATTTTAAAGTTTTCTGAAGTTCATTGCATAAAAAGTCTGCTGTAGTCATCATCCTTAAGGATCATTTTAATTCTTTGGTCTATAAAACGATCTTAAGCATTCTTAACATTGGAATCACAGCGTTGTGGTTCCGGTTTACAAAACCTATGTCGTGTGCTGCATAGTGAGCGCATTCTTATTTTATGTCCTGATCCCCTAGTATTTGAACGAGGACGTGCCAGGGTGCTGCTTTGGAAGATTGAGAGAGACCCATTAACCAGGAACAGGGGTAACCAGTTCTACCAAAAAATGACCACACAAGACTTCCCAACTTCTCTGACTTTTCTTTTGCTTTCAACCTGCGACCCTAAAGAAGAGGTTTGGCGTTTCCATTGCTCCGCTCGGGCACACCCGCTAGTGCCCAGGCTGCACTCCTTAGTGGAAGTGCACCGGATCTCTGTTCGCACACGGAATGCCGATACCCACCTTTCCAGCTTTTGAAATAGTCTCAGCAATGCATCTGTAGTTTCAGGACTTCTGTTTACAAGATCAAGATACTTTTGTGTGTTTTTAAAATAAACTTATTTTTTTCTTTTAAAAATTACATTCATGTTTGAACTAGTATAAATGCTAGGCATATTTCATGGACTTGGTATCCACACATAATTAATTCTGCCACAACATCGCACCATTCACATGGTGAATAATATCCAGTCAGGATAAGAGCTTAAAACTGCTATGTTGTTTTTCTAAAGATATGTAATTTCTAAAATAAACTTTTTGTATATAATGAAAATTTTAAGCGGGTTCATTTTTCCGGAGTTTGCTTGCTTTGGAGGTTTCCGTATTTGAACCGAGTTCTCCAGCAGCAGTTACGACCTCACTCTCTCTGGTGCTTTGTTCAGAAGCCGAGTCTGCAGACCAGTCCCCTTGGCTGTGCTGCTCTTCTCCCTGTGGATGCAGATTCTTCAGGGGAGCCTGTCTTCGGCTTTCGGCCTTGGTTTCCCTTGGGAAGGGCGATGTGGGGGGTTAGGGAAGGAGGCCTCTCCTCCTCAGGGCTACAGCCTCCTTTCCTGGGATGGAGCAGCTTCATCAGAACCATCCTAAAGTGCACTTCAAGCAGCGAATCCTCTTTCATAAGCACGTGACGTAAACACAAGGGAAAGGAAGGCCTTCGCTTGGAATGGGGAGACTTCTGCAACTATGGCGGACCAGATACTCAGCCTTTTCTGTGCAGACCTGGACAGAATGTTTTTGGAGCTTAGATAGCTGGGCTAGCAACAAAGGGATTTCTGAGAGGCAGTAACAGCCAAGGACAGACCCAGAAGGTTGTGACAGCCCCCTGCTGGTTACACCAAGAACATTTGTTCATCCCCGGTAGCCTGATTTCTGAGCTCTGAGTCGTCACAGGGTGGGAACTTTGATCAAGGCCCCCCAAAAAAGCCCAGAGCCCTAGAGGTGCCCCCTCGGTGAAAGGGATCACTTGACAAAAACCCTGCCTCAGAAAGGGGATACCTGTCCGATCTGCACATGCCCAGTTTGCAGGGAGGGGTCTGGAGTGTTGGCACAGGGCAGGGTCTTCTCTGCAGATCCTGTCCCCAAGCTGTTCGTTGCCACAGCAAGGCTGGGACAATTCACATGACCTGTGGGGCTGGGAGAGATGCAAGCTGGGAATTTAGGGCAACTCTGATTGGTAGCGGCCACAAATACCCGCCAGTAGCCAGCGCAAATTCTCTGCAAGAACACATCTAACCCCAGGCCTCGATCCTCCCAGATAAAGCTCCAAGCATCACGAGCTCACAATCCTTGAATCTATGGGGAAACAGCCACAGGGGTGAGAATCAGCAGACTAGAAACAAGTTAGACCTGGAAAGACGGATTATCAGATGCAGAGAGGGGTATGTTTGAAGAACCACAACACAGTCGTCAAAATGGGACCCCGAGGATCAAGAGACGTCCAAAGTGACCAAGTAGATGGGAACAACGGGGAAAAGGGCTTGTAGGAAACGGGCAGCATTCCTGTAGCTCTCAGATGTCATACCTGCGCCCTGCGTCTGCAGCTTCCACCCTACCCTTGCCTCCTGCCCTGCCCCCTGCACCTCCGCTCACCCGCGGCGCCTGCCTGTGGCAGCACTCTGCCTGGTTTTCTTGTTCTCCCGCTGACATTCAGCCTTTTCCTCCAGCCCCGTCATCCCTGCACCCCCACAGCAATCCCTTGGCCTTTTTTCCCCAAGTTTTGCTCCGATTCCTTTTCCCTCTCCACCTGGGGATCAAGAGTCAGGCTGTTACACCAAGTTATCGCTAGTAATTACGGTAGCTGTGGGATCCCAGCGCTCCCTGTTTTATCCTTACGTGGGAGGGAGGGAGGGGGGTGTGTGGATGAATTTATCGGCAGTGTGTGCAATTCTACTTTGACCAAAAGAACTATTTTTGAGTTATCTTCACGAGGTTCGAATCGGCCAGATGATTTCAAAACAGTGCGGCCCGAAGTTTCCTGCCAAGCCTTGAACGCTTTGGACATCAACGGGTGTCCGCCGTACCTTAGCGATCAGGTCCTGAGTGCCCAGTGTCGCGCTGCCGCACCTCCAGGGGCTGTGGAAACTGTCGGGGCATTCCAGACCTGGCAGCCAAAGCAGTCTTCCGCTGCAGGGAGCGATGGGAGGGCTCAGACTCACTGGGCCCAGGAAGGAAAATCAGCCCCCAGTACCGTTCTCAGCGGCACAGTTGTCAAGAGGGGAAACAGTTACCTCATCAGAGTCTCCGTCACTTGGTTCCCTTGAACTCAAGCTGTTTCAACCTTGGGTCAGCAGGATATTACGAAAGCAGGCCACTTTCCTAGAATAATCAACTTCGGCGTTATCTGTGCATGTCAGAGACTCGTTGGCCTGAAGAAGTAAATACAAGTGGATTGCAGCAAAACGTTTAAGGCCTTTCGTTCAGAAAAATCGTCGCAGGACCCCAACACCAGGCCAACACGCCAAGCCTCTCTCCCCACGGAATCTTACACTCCTGTTCGTGCAGGAGTTGGTGCATGTCATTTCACGGCCAACTCCTATTGCTTTCGGGTTGGGTTGGGTTTTCTTGGGTTTCCCCAAGAAAACACGTGCACAGTAGAGCACTGGAATGTGAATCTGGGTCCACCCTTGGTTTGGGGGCCACGGTCAGGAATCTGCTAAGGTGATAGGAACCCTGCAAAGCGGAGTTGGTTGGAATCAGCCTTTTTTTTTCTTTTCCAGGAGACTTGGGTTCAGATGTTATCTCTGCCACTTGACTGTGTGACCTCGAGTGTGTTTGTCTGTCCTTTATTACTTTTTTCCCACATATAGACAAAAATCAATATTGCAGTAGAAACAATGGTTGCCAGGGGCTGGCGGAGAGGAGAATGAGGACTATGGGGTTTCTTTTGGGGGTGATGCTCTGAAATTGGATAGCGGTGATGGTTGGACAACTGGGAATATACTAGAAAAACACTGAATTGTACTCTCTTTATGGTGAATTTCGTGCTAAGCAATAAAGCTGTTATTTTTTTTTAATTGAATGTTAACAGTACAGAACAGTGAATGCCCAAGTACCCGTCACTCAGACCCCCTAATTTGCAGCTCATGCCAATCTTGTTTTAGTTATACTTCTATTCACTTCCCTTTTCTTGAATTATTTTGAAGCCAATTTCAGAAATATTTTATCTGTAAATATTTCAATATATACACCTCTAAGATAAGAACTTTTTAAAACACAATTTCGAGAATCACTTCACCTTAAAATAGTAACATCAATTACCTAATATCACTAATCTAGTCAGTGTTCGAATTTCCTTATAAAGAATATAGTTTGAATTAGACTCCAAGTAAGGCCCATACATTGTGAGCTGATGTGTCTTTTAAGTCTCTTCATCTTCAGGTTCAATCTCTGTCTCTTTTTCCCCTTTGCAGTTTATCAAAGAAACTAGTTTGGTTTTTTGGCCAAATTAATCCCTATATCTCTCTCTCTCTCCCCCAAGAGAGAGGGATCTGTGACTTTTGTTTTAGAAAATAATGAGTTGTATCCCTGGCTGGCAGGTTCAGTGGTCAGAGTCAGCCCATGCACCAAAGGGTCTTGGGTTTGATTCCTGGTCAAGGGCACATACCTGGGTTGCAGGTTCAATTCCTAGCCCCCGTCAGGGTCATGTGGCAGGCAGCCAATCAATGTGTCTCCCTCACATCAATGTTCTCTCTCTCTCTCTCTCTCTCTCTCTCTCTCTCTCTCCTTCCCTCCCTCCCACTTTCTAAAAATCCATGGGAAAAATATCCTTAGGTGAGGATTAACAGTAAATATAATAATTATTTTATAATAATAGTCCAGCTGATGTGGCTCAGAGGTTGAGCGTCGACCCAGGCACCAAGAGGTTGCTAGTTTGATTCCCGGTCAGAGCACATGCCCAGGTAGTGGGCCTGATCCCCAGTGGGGGGCATGCAGGAGGCAGCCAGTCAATGTTCTCTCTCATCGATGTTTCTCTCTCTCTCTCTCTCTCTCTCTCTCTCCCTTCCTCTCTCTCTAAAATCAATAAAGATAATAATAATAATAATAATAATAATAAGATGTAGAGAAGGGATATTTGGGCCCAGCTCCCCCACTCTGTTTTGGAATTCTGCCCCCATGGGTATGTGTAGAGAAGCATCGGATTTAGGGCTCACAGATGCCCACGCGGAGCCATGAACCTCAGCCTTGGCCCTGTGCCCACCAGCACAGCACGTGACAGAGCCCGAAGGAAGCAGCAGCGAAGATTCACACCAACAGTGAACACAACCCACCGGCTGTCCGCGGTGCCCCCTGCCCTACAGGAGTCACCCGCCGTGCGCCCCAGCAGTAACCTCTAAGGCTCGGTCTTATCGAGAAGACTACTGGGGTGAAAGCACTTCCGCTAGTCCCACTGTCACAGATAATCTCAACCTGTGTGACTCACAGCTCTTTCCTATGAGTCTGCTTGTTTTCCTTAAATGGAACTTGCCAATCCCATCTTTCTCTTTTCTTTCTCATGTGCATGGTGTCCCCGCCAGACACACTCTGCCCCTAAATCCATCCTCCAGACGTCTCGTCCCCGCCTCCCTCCCGAGGCCTTCCCGACATGACTCCCCTCCTCCCATCTCTGCCCTCCTCTCCACGGGTCCCCACTGGGAGTGGCGTGAAATCGCTCTGTGCTCACGCTGTGGGGCCATGTTTCCCTCCTTGGGCTCGGCTCCCATCCACAACCCGGCGGTGACTTGGTCCAGGAAGCTAACGTCCAGCCATGATAACAGTTTAAAATATGGATCGTCCCAGCCAGAAATCAGTCAGCTGTTTTCATCCGCAGCCCCTTCCTGGTGCTCAGGATGTTGAGGACCGCACGGGACAAGCAGCCCACGAGCCCGCGGTGCTGCCATCACAGGAAGGACCTGTGGGAGAGTTTGTTGGAGATGGCCCATGAGCCAGGCGCGGAAGCCTGGGTACCACTGTTGCCTCAGTGAAATGAAAACGCCAACGGGCCTGGCAAGGAGTCTGCTCCCCAGAAGGTCCTCTCTGGGTGTCGAGTCTGAATTTAGGACAAGTAAAAAGACTTAGCAAGTGCGTGCGCTAGTGCTGTGTTTTCAAGTTCGGACGGTGGGCTGGTGAGACTGAAGAGGTAATATAGGTACATTGCTATGTGCGCAGCATAGCTTGGGTGCAGAGTCAGCACCCAGAAAATGTTCACCGGTAGGTGTTGGGAGCAAAGAGCAAGAGGTAGGCCTGCAGGTCAGAGCAGAGGGCAGCGTGGCCCCGAGTGGAGCAAGGGGTGGGGCAAGGTCCTTTAAGGCAGTCCCCTTGGCTTGTTTTCTCCTGGCTGTCCCAGGACACGTTTTAGGGGCAAGAAGGAAGAAACACCGGCCCCTCTCAGCGAGTTGGGCTCCCGGCCTCAATCAGAGAAAGGGACTTGGTCTGGTGTGAGCGGCTCCACAGTGCTCGAGAGATGAGCTTTTCAAAGTAGGAACTTCCACCTCCAAAGCAGAAGAGTGGGGTTTTTCTGTTGTTGGTTTTTTTTTCTTTTGTGGTTTCACATAGCAAGTGTGTGACGATCTCCACTTATAAACGGAGCGATGCACTCAGGCCCTGAGTTCGGAGCGCGGCCCGGGCTTCGGATCGCCCCTCCTCTGCATCTTCTTCTTGGCCTCTCCAGGACGGAGCCCGCGGGGGGAAGCTTCGCAGGAGTTCTTCTGTTGTCAGACAGCTCCGCGGAATCCCGTCTCTGAAAACCCGCCTGAAGCATGCAGTGACATTGCACAACCCGCCTGGAGCCGGAGGTTACAGCCGCGGAGCCCAGAGCGACGGCTTCACACAGCATGAGAGGAGCCAGCGTCATGGACGGGCTGCCCCAGGTGAGTGACCGGGGCTGTCTGAATTGGCTGGGGGTCCAGCCGACTTAAGGACAGCAACCCATGTTTGTGCAGAGTTTCTAATGAAGCCAAAGGGTGGACACCAGTAGTAAGCTAAGATGGGAAGGTTTCGTGTGAGTGTGGAAGTGTCTGCGCTTCAAGCCCCTTGCCAGCTGGATGCAGGGATGGATGAAAATTACTTGGCAGTAGCAACCACCTTCTGGGGTTGGTCACACAACTATCACGTTGTGTCCGTTCACCTTCTGACTAGCTTCCTGAGCGAGACCTCAGCCACCCTGACCTCTCCTTTCTCTGGACCCTGAACGTACACAGCGTCACCCACAAGGGTCCTGGTGACTCTGCGCCCCTTCCCCGGAGCAGGGCGTGGGCATTCTGCCGGCTCCATGGTAACGCTTGTATTGATCTGTGCGAGCGGGGCTCCGGTCTGGGACGGGAATCAGACATGGTTCACTGCTTGGGAAGGAGAAATGGTTACCCAAAGAAATCTTGCTCAGATACCAAGAAAGTAAAGTCCAAGGCTTACTTGACTACACCTTTCAAAAATATAAGTAGGACAGAAAAAAAAAAAAGAACTGAAACAATTACTAATGGGGAGCCTGCTTACAGGAATTAAATGTGTTATTTATTATTCTAATAATAATGTTGGTGTCATCGGTGGAATGTATAGCTGAGGAAAACATGACGTCCTCTCTTATATAGGGCGTGTGTCAATATCTTAGCTAGACTATTGTACCCAACTGTTTTCTTTGAAAATTGTTCTACCATTGGGAAAATGGGGGGGGGGGTTCTTTAGGGAACCTGTGTGCATCCCTTACTGAGATGCACGTGATCTGCATTTGTTTTATGTGTCTAGATACGGGCGCACACGGTGCTGTCAAATGTAACCACTCGAAAAATGGCACTTATAATTACACTTCACCCCTAAATACTTATAATTACACTTCACCCCTAAATAAGTCAGCTTGTCTGCTGAAAACAAGGACCTCCTCCGTAGCATTCACACCCAAGAAAATGTGCCATTGAATTGACAATGCCATTCTAACATTCAGCCCACATTCACGTTCTCCAGAAACATCCTTTCGGGCTTTTATGGCTGTTTTTCGTTTGTGTGTGTGTGTGTGTGTGTGTGTGTGTGTTTTCAATCCAGGATTCGTCCCAAGACCACACACTGCGTGCTCGTCACCCGTCTGTCGTCCTTAGTCTAGGATGACCCTCTGTTCTGTTTTGTTTTTCAGAACATTGATTTTTTTTTTAATTATCCCAGATCGTTCTATGATTTCAATTTCTTAGATATGTGCTATCTCTTCTGCCTAATTCCTATAGCACTTTATAATTTGTAATTAACATGTATGTATGCATGTAGCATATTTGATGTTCCCAGCATCCCCATCAAGACCTATTATGAATGTTAGACGTATAATAATAGCTGTCAATTACTGACCAGCCATCTGCCGGGCCTACGCCGAGGGCTCTCCTCACACGTTCCGTTACATCCCCACGTCTTCTCCCCATGTTACAGAGGAGGAAAGTAGGGTGCACTGACTTGCCAAGGTCACACGCCAGAAAGTGGAATGCTGGGGCGTCTACCCCAGAACCCCAGCTCTCAACCAGCTCACTGTCTTCCGACCCTCAGGCCAGCAGCTGGCAAACCCAGCTCCTTGTTTTCACAACCCTTTAAACATAGAAACTCATTCTTCACTCCTAGACCGGTCTTCCGGATTTGGTCCTCCGGTCACGGTGGCCAGCCCTTGTCTTAGACGAATGACACCTCAGCTCATGCCGGCCATGGCGCCCAGCAGTGGCAGCGACAGGGCACGACCTCAGTGAGCGGTTTCCTGGCTGTCCTCCAGGACTGCCCGAGCTCAGGGAAGAGACCCCCTGGGGAAAGGCTTTGCCCAGACAGGAGCAGTTACCGGAGGCAGCCCCGCGCCTCGCCTTCTCCCACGGAAAGCACACGGCACAGTTCCACTCATTTCAGCACCGTTCACCCACCGCGTTCGTTTTCGCGCCGACGCCGTTGCCCGATTGCTGTGTAAGTGGTAACGCGAGGCTGGAAGGGCTCAGCCCGTGGACGTGGTTCTCAGCCGTGGGGCCTCTGACGTCACCGCAGCCCTCAGCTGCGTCCCAGACAGCCGGTCGCCTTCCCTGCCCTGCCCTTGGCCCGCGTGCGCCGGAGGGTGGCAGACGCCGCGTCCAGCTGTGCCCTAGCGTTGCTGTTGCCAACCAACAGCTTCAGAGCGGTCGAGTTCTCACCTTGGTGCACAGCAGGTGTTGCGGAATTGACTTTTACTACATGTTCCCCTCTCTGTCTCCTAAAACAAGGGGAAACTGGGACACAAACACGGTGATAAACACGGTGCTACTCATGATGGGGAACGCCGGCCCCAGTGGCGCGTTGGCACTAAGGTGAACTTCACTCCCCATGGGGGCTCTCACGGGTCGGTCACGGGCTTGTGGCCGTAGCCGACTGGTTCCATGTTCAATGCCACTGCAGAAATGCTACGCAATGACGTCTGCAACGCAAGGCGAATGAGTGGCTTCAGTATGCAGAAGCCCTGGTTTGGGATCTGGGTCATTTACTAAGTGCCTTATTTTTGAAAATCAAGTTTGCATAGACTTCGGTGATTCCGTCGCGTTGGTGGCAAATGAGCTTTACTTTTGAGTGTGTGTGTGTGTGTGAGAGTGTTTGTGTGTGTGTGTGTGTGTGTGTGAGTGTGTGTGTGTGTGAGTGTGTGTGTGTGTGTGTGAGTGTGTGTGTGTGTGTGTGTGTGTGTGTGTGCACCATTACAGGCAATCTTGAAGTTAGCATCATCTTTGTGCACAGACATCTTATCTCTCTGGGGCAAATGTCCGGGACTTGGAGGATCCTAAGTGGCCTCCTTGGTGAGTGGGGAGCAATGTCAGGCTCTCCTTGACTTTTAGCAGCTCTGAGATGGTGAGCAAGACATTTTACAGTCAGTCGGTGTCCAAGGAGGGCAGGTAGGATTGTGTGTGGAGGACTCGCCGTGACCCACCAGCCCCGCTGTTCCCTGCCTTGGGGCGCGCAATCCCCTCCATGAGGGACAGACCTGGCTTTCCCGTTCAGTGCTGACTCTCTGTGCCTAGAGCAGTGTCTGCAAATAGTAGGTGCTCAATAAACATGTTGTGTTGATGTGTGTGAATGGACGGGAGGTTACAGGAAGTGCAGACGGGGCCTTTACAGCACAGCCCTGCCCGGAGGACAGAGACTTCCTAGTTATCAGATGTCTGGGAGCAGAGGTCATCCATGACTCTCCGCTCTCCACCTCCACCTGGCTCCAGCCGAAACTTCCACTCAGCCTAGGTTTCTGAGAAAAGGCCCTTCCTTCCTTCTCTCATAGCAGGTGTGGCCTTGGGGCCGAGCTTTGCAGCCGAAGTCAAGGTCACAAGGACCTGTAGCCTCCCTCTGACTTTGTCCAACAGCTTCATCTCTCCACCCACCTCCCGGTGCAAAACAGCCCAGACTCAACACTCAGCTTGAAAACACAACTCACTGTCCACGGATGAGCCATTCGCTCAACACACGGTTATTGGGCTCGGAGGTTCGGGTGACCAACACAGACCAGACATCCCGGTGGGGTCGCGATATCAGTAAATGTGTAAATGGACACGATGGTTTCAGGTGGTGAAAAATGCCATAAAGCAAATAAAGCAAGGTGGTCTGATAGAGGTGATGGACAGAAAGGGCCTCTCTGGAGACCGGAGTGATGGGAAAAGCATGGCGGGCAGAGGGAACAGCAAATACAAAGGCCCTGAGGTAGGAATGAATTCAGCAGAGCATCCGTGACAAGGCCGGCACTGTGGGAGCGGAGTAAACAAGGGAAGAGAGTGGCCAGAAATGCGAGCTCAGGGATCAGCAGGCTCAGCCCTGTAGGGACCTAAATGTGCATTCTCATTGCAAAGGAAACCACCGTCTATTTAAAGCAGGAGGTGACACAGCCTGATTTATGTTCTTAAGAGCTTACTCAGGCTGACACGCAGCAAGGGCACTGTGGGTAGGAAAGAGCAGAAGCAGGACATGAATTAGGAGACAGTGGAGGTGGCTTCGTTTTTCATTTCGGATGGTCCCATGCTGTTCTCAGGGGGCACAGAGGAGAAGAATCCTCTGCTCTGCCTTTGGAAAGAAATAAAACTCTTGCTGTTTGAGACTGCGTGGGGACGGGAGCAGAAACAATAGTACGCGAAGGAGTAAACAGCTTGTATTGAATGACATGTGTGAGCGACCTTTTTATTTATGTATTTATCTAGAAACTGTGCGTTCCCCACCAGCCTTATTTCCGTTTTCTGTTGAGACAATATGCCTTTCATGCATTCAGCAAATACTGAGGGCCCACCCTGTGCCAGGCACTGTTTTGGGTGCCGCGGAGGGCATCGGTGTCTAGTCCCCCTTCTCGGTACTTAATAACATGTCCTGATAGTTAATAAACTATCCCTATGGGATATTGGTCTTCCCCTGCCTGCCTAGTAACCTTTATTCTCTCAACATGGTAACTCTAGAGCTCACTCTTGAAAAAACGAAACCCACCGAGAGTTTGAAAAGTCTGCCGGCAGACTATTCGGAGCAATGCGGCCTCCACGGTCATGGAAACAGGGAAGTGACCGTAGAAATGCGGTCAGGTTGGCGCTTCGATGACTAAGGGCGGAAATGACAAGGGCCTGGAGAGGAAACAACTTCAAAGGAGGAAGGCGGGAGGCGGGTAGCAGAGATGCCCGTGATACTCGAGTACCCGGCCCGGAGCAGAAGGGGAAGTGCCTGTTTCAGGAACCGCGTCCGAGCGCACCGGCTGAGCCGCTTGTGTGGGAGCGGAAGAGGGCTGCTCTGTGCACCCCGCAGGGCAGGGACGCAGGCTGTCCCCCGGGCCTGGGGCAGCACCTCCGGGCCCTCCGGAGGCGTCGCAGGCCAAACGCGGATCATGAAAAAGTCCCCCGTGCCCTGGCCGGTTTGGCTCAGCGGTTAGAGCATCGGCCTGCAGACCAGTGAGTCTCGGGTCCGATTCCGGTCAAGGGCACGGACCTCGGTTGCAATTCATCCCAGGCCCTGGTCGGGTCGAGGTGTCTCTCTCACATCAACGTTTCTCTCTCTCTCCCTCCCCCTCCCACTCTATCTGATGATAAACAGAAAAACATCCACAGGTGAGGATTGAAAAAAACAAAAGTTCCTCGTGGGCCAGCCCGGGCTCCTCGTCCGCCTCCCCCCATGAGCTTACACGTTAGCGACTGGCAAGGGCTACTATTTGCCTTGAAACTGTTGCTTGTCCTTGGAGTGAAGAGCAGCTTCTGTTTAACTCCTGCCCAGGGAGCTCATCTTTTGGAGGGAAAAGAAAGCATTATAGGGCCCCCTCCCATGGACATGTTAGCCATCCGGGGGACAAAAAGGAAAATGTGCTTTGTGAAATGTTCTCTTCGGGCTCAGAATTTAAACTCGCCCTGGGGATGGGAGGGTGCAAAAGTCAGTTGCTAGCAGCAGGTATTTCAAGCTGCCTCTTTCCTGCACGGTGTCCCCCAGAGTGAGGCCTCAACGACCCTGGGAAGCAGGAGGGCTAACGCCAACGGATAAGAGAACTTACATACCAGGGCGGTACCTTGCTTGCCTAATGCCCCTAAAAATGACCCTGGGTGAGAGAGAATTCCGTGAACAAGCTGGACTTTCTTCATTCCATTCTCTGCGATTCATGAAATGGCTTTGGATTCTTTCTATCTAATCAGATGGAAAGATCACTCCCTGTGGGGCCTGGACCCAGGCATGCAGGATGACTTTAGGTGCGGTACACAGATAAGATAAAACATTTTGCAAGGTTGGTTACGTATTTTAAATTTCTTTTTTTTTTAATTCTCACCCGAGGATATTTTTCCATTGATCTTCAGATAGAGTGGGAGAGAGAGAGTGAAAGAAACATCAACTGGTTGCCTCCCGCATGACCCCGACTAGGGCCAGGGATGACCCCAACCAAGGTACATGCCCTTGACCGAAATCAAACCCAAGACTCTGGTCCACGGGCCGACGCTCTAACCACTGAGAAAAACTGGCCAGGGCTTAATTATTTTTATATCCTCAACTGGGGATATGCTTTTCTACTGATTCTAGGGAGAGAGGAAAAGAAAGGGAGAGACGGAGAAACACTGATTTGAGAGAGAAACATCAACTGGTTGCCTCCTGCTCATGCCCCGACCGAACCCACAACCTGAGTATGTGCCCTGACCAGGAGTCGAACCTGCAACCCTTCGGTGCACGCACAGGACATTGCTCCAACAGCTGAGCCACACTGGCCAGGGCAGTGAGTTATGCATTTCCATGTGCCTTAGAAAAAGCTAAAACAACTCATCAGACTTGTCATTTCATATGTAACATTGCTTAGAGGGAGCGGGTTATTTTTTAATTGGCTTAGTTTAATATTTTAAGTAAAAAAAAATATACACAGTTGGCACACAGATGTGACCGGAACGTGCAGTTAACAGGTGCGTGCAGGAGAAGAAACGCAGTCTTAGGCAAAGCTTTCTCCTCGTTGGAGTTGGTGTAATTGCTTCCGAACAGTCCGGTGACACAGGACACCTGCTGTCTCCGTGTCTTTCCCTGACCCTCAAAACAAGAGAGAAGGAAGGAAAGGAAATGAGAAAGGAGAAGAACCTGCCTCTGATTTTCTGCAGTCCCTCGAGGACTTTCCAGAGCTGAGAGACGAGCCCAAAGGAAGCAGGAGCCTGTCGGCCCCGGAAGCTGTTCAGACGAAGAGGCCGAGACCCGATGGTGCAGTTACTTGCCCTCCTCCCTCCACGAGTTTGTCACGAGCAGAGGCCGAATCCCCAACCGCTTGCACCGCTCATGCAACGTTGCTGGAAACTCCTCCTCCCAAACCAAATGTCTTGAACAACCGCCCAGGGACTGGGCTGCGGGGCGTGGACCGGCGTGGAGGTGGCGGGAGAGGCTCGGGGTCTCCAGGCCACTGCGGGCGGCACAGGACGGATTGGTGGAACACAGGGCCATGGTGGGCCACGTCCAGAAACGTCAATCAAGTGAAGGCCTGAGAGATCATTCCTGCTGTGTCATTGCAATCCTGAGCTTCGATCGGGGCACCTGGTTCACCCCGTCCCCCCCACCCCACTCCCCGCCCAGCACACACTGTCAGA